ACATAACCCGCCCGACCCAATCCTACCCGTCCCTATTTAATCGGGTTTTTTATTTTAAAAAATATTCATGTGTTAAATCACTAAATGTGTTTGAACCCGCACCTAATGGGTAGGGTTGCGGAATTAAAATCTCAAACTGGGAGTAGCCGACCCGGCCGAAGTTCATTTTACTATTATTATGCTACAATGTTTTCTTGGATAATTTCAATTTAAGACCAATGTGCTCTATCTAGGGCTTTATGATATTAGAATTATAATTAAACATTTACCATGTTGACTAGGTGATTATTATATACTTACGTTTTCTTCTAAATGAACTTCCTTTACGGAAGGATGTTTTAATTCTACGGAGTATTATTACCTAATGTTTTTGCTGATAAAAGATATGTGTACCTAATGTATTTGTTTGTGTGTTTTGAAAACAAGTTAATCGAGTTTTAAATTGGTTACATTGATTTCCCACATGAAAGATGCAATCGGAAGTGCTTTTTTCAATACCCGACCCTACCCGACCCGTTCATGTATGGTTTATCAACTTATTTTGTGTATCGCGGGTTGGTTAATAGCCAACCCGAACAAATTGGGTAGGCCTAAAAAATATAGCAAACTCGACCCAACCCGCCCGATGTGCAGCCCTAGATCAGACTAGGTCAGATCATACTTAAATAGACCTGATCAGGTTAGATCATACCAGATCAGAAAAATCTAGTCGAATAAAAAACACCCTTATTGGAATTATAAATGTAAATTCACGAATCTTAATAAATAATTTATGTAAAATTAAAGTGTATATTTCAAATTTCAATTGTGTCTTGTTATAAATTAATGTCTCCTTTATAAATTAATGTCTCCTTTAGAATGTTGGATTAATAAATTTTTATTATCTAAGTTTGATGAAGAATATGTTTATAATGTTTTAATTGGAATGATTTTAATCCACGTAGATTTAAACAAATTTGATCATACCAGACTAGGCTTAAAGAGTAATAAAATATACATTTGGCAGCCAATCACATTAAACAGACATGTTCAATTTTTTTCTTCAAAATTCACATATGTAATTATGAAGGATCGTAAAAATTTATTTAATTAAAAAGTTAATATACTTTAATTTATAATAAAATTTGCCACGTGACAACAAATTGGATGAGAAGACAACAAATTTTTATAGCTACAATATTGTTTATTTTCTGTTATCTTGACATGGTATGGGTATTGCACTATTGCTGTGTTAAGTTCTTAACCTCCTACGTAACATTTATTAAACTCAATCAATTTTAATTGAAATCTCCGTTATTGAGAAGGTCAATATAGTATGAGCATGATTACGTAAAGTAATATGACATACATAAAATAGACATCTTCCGCATTGTATTACTCCAGACCAAATTAGAACTGGAAATGTCAATCTAATTAAAAATATCCTTATTAATGACGTTTTCAACGTGATAAATTAAATGAGTAAATTGCAAAAATGATCCATTTTTGTTACATTTCAATGTGACGAAATAATAAGTACAATGTAAGATCTTACTAATAAAATTTACAAATACTTATTTCATACCATGTTGAATGAGAAATATTTAAAAAAATAGTGTTTTGAGATGCTTTGGGTATGTTTGGCACAACTAGCTGAAAAGATATTTTTGTTAGCTTTTTAGTAACTGTTAGCTTTTAGTGACTGAAAAGATTTTAAAAGGAAAAGGTGGTAGCTATTTGGTAAAAAACTGACTGTTTGATTTAGTTTTGTTTGGTATACAAGCTGTTAGGACGAATTAATACTAAAAGTCACTAGCTTTTCTCAGATGCTACTCTCTATATCATCTAAAAAAAGACCTTTTAATTTTTGAAAAACTCTTAAAAGTTGTCATGCCAAACATACAACTGGAAACTTTTTCAGACTTTTTAAACAGTACAAAAGCTAGAAGGCGACTTTTAATGAAGTAATATAAAGGATGTGAAATTAATTTTTTGACAGTAAAACCCGATGTCTATTATTAAATCAAAGCATCATTAGCCACATGGCTTACAATACATTCTGGGATCACATTATAGCTAATACTAAGATCTGAGAGATTCACATGCGCCCTTGCTAAAGTATGAGCAACACGATTCGCAGATCGTTTACAAAAAGAGATAGAAAAATTCCTCTTTGTTCGTAGCAAGTGCCTGATATCATCAATAATCAAATCCGTGTATGCGATGCCACCTCCACTCTGAATTCCTCTGACCACCGCTTGAGCATCAGATTCAAATTCAACCTCATCCCAGCCCTCCCTGATTGCCCCTAAAACGGCTTCTCGGATGCCCATCGCCTCCGTCTCTGCCGGAGTCCACCCCGCCTTACAGAGCCGTCCAATGAATTTGGAGGCCCCGTTCCAAACGTAAAATGGAGGCCTCATATTAATATTAAGAATTAAGAAAAAAAACTCAAACGAAATACTTATAGTGAAGTCAATTGAATATTCATCAAATAATGTAATAAAGATTCTAAAAATCACTTAATACTTGATTTAAAGCAATACAACTCATCGCTTAATCAATTTGAGTATAACATGAGTAAGAGTACCGACAAAAACTTTATTTTATTGATTAGTATTTATTTCTAATATTACTATGTAATACTAATAATTTTTTAAAGAATTGGGGCCCCAGAAATCGGGAGGCCCTGTTCTGTAGAGCATGTTGAACATGCTAAACGCCGGCTCTGCCGCCTTACACGAACCACCATGGGCTTTGAGAAATTCTCCTTGCTCGTCTCTGGCAACCCAACCCCAAGCTCTAATTTCCCCTGCTTCATTGACAGCCGCGTCCACATTCATCTTAATTGCTCCCGCTTTCGGTCGTTGCCATTTATCCTCCTGAATTCTCCCTGGACCCCTCCACTTCTTCCCTGACTTTTGCACCTGCTGCCATGCGGACCAAACATTAGTGCAGCAGCTTAGGACCGCTGCAGCTCCTTGCCATTCCCCGTCCCAGACGACTGAGTTCCTCCGCTTCCACAGCCCCCACATTAACTTGGCCATTCTACATCTCACCAAGGATGTGAAATTAATTAAGAAACTTTTGTGTGAATTCTTTAAAGTCGAGTTCATAACAATTATGTTTAGTTGAGATGCTTATGTAGAAGTCCATTTTAAATATTTTTCATATAAATTTTAATTTATTTTATTAATTATATATTTAATATGTATTATATTTTATTTTACTTTTTCATAGTTTGGGAGATTCCATCAATTTAGCTTAGTCAGTTAGATTTAATTCATTACAGTAGAGTCAGACAATTCGACCAATTTTAGTATTATCAAATGACTATATATTAGATCAAGTTTATTTTTCTTTTGCATCACATTAAATTATATATGATTCTAAAAATATTAAATTTACAATTAGCTTAATTATGTACTATCCGTGCATCGCACAGGCTTGAAAACTAGTCTATGATAAAATTAGAGGTTTTTCTAAAATATTATTAATAAAAATTTATGAACTAAAATGTGACCCTTTTATAGGTAAAATGGTCAAATAAGTCATTCTATTATTTTCAATCTATCATTTGAGCCTCTATACTAAAAAAGTGTCATATAAGTACATGTATTTTGAAAAATTGATCAATCTGACCATTTAATCAGTTTTTGACCTATAATAACAAATTTTTTACATTAAAAACTAAAAATTTGTTAAAATTTGAAAAATATAGATAAATTTTTTGAAATTCATCAAAGTGCCAATGTCAATATTCTTGCATTTTTTAAACTGTTTTTATATTCTAAATCTATTTACCATGTTTTTACATTTTTTATTGTATAGTTTTTACATTTTCACTTTATTTTTTCAGTTTTTTATTATTCATTTTTATTTTCACGTTTTTAACTTATTTATCTATTTATACATTTATGCTATTTTTTTATTATTACTTTATAATAACTTGCAATAGCAGGTCAAAATGGCTTGATTAGTTTGTTTTAAAACTAAACATAATTATATGATGTTTTTTAGTAGAATAACTTAAGTGATGGACTGAAAATAGTAGAATGGTTTATTGACGTTTTTCTTTAATACCTTTGAACATAATTATAGTCACTAAAACTTACAAAGTCACTTCCTTCAACAAAAAAAACTTACAAAGTCACATTTTGTCCATTACTTTTACAGAAGTCATATTAATGGAATGTTTTCATTAAATTATATTATGTCGGACATGCTTGACCTTTGGGTGTCATATTTAATTAGATCACACCAAAACTGAAAAAATTGTACGAAATGAGATTGAATTGGCTAAATGAAAACCACAACGAACTAAAAATAAAGATGTCAAATTATACTCATATCAAATATGAACATAAAAAATACTAAGACTGCTTTATGATAAATGTGAGTTTCTAGTTGTGCTGTGAAAAGCTAGTTATATGAGTTAGCTAATTAGAACTATGTGATGAAACACAACTATAATTTCATGTTCATTTAACTAAATGTTTGCGGTGACTGACTTGCATGATTTAAAAATAATTTAATAGAGATGTTTATTTTTAAAAAGTAATGAAATATTTTAAAAAAAAATGAGCCGACAAAAATAAATTAATTAGTTAAAGAAAAAAGTAAAAAATAAACTGAATTAAACTCACTCCACTGAAGATATCATGTTGTGGTGAAAAAGTTGAATAGGAAGCTATTCACTTTAAAAGTCTCACGGCATAGCAATAATTTACATGCATATGATACCCGAGTATAGAGGGGCAATTTTCACTTTATTGTAGCACAAAAATAAATTACCAAGCACATTACTGAAATTAGGGGAACCTAAGATAAAATTTGAACCAAAGAGAGGAGGCCATATTTTCACGTGATAATTAATAACAACACATGCGCTTTTCCCGTGAGTTCTGTTTCCATTTGACTATGCCTTCTTCCCCTTTTACAATAATTTTTTTCCTCTATTGGAGCATGCCATTTTCCTAATATTCTTTATTTAAGGTAATATAATTTCACCTCAAGCCGAAATCATTATTACATGTAATATATTTACCCATGCTCGAATGCACACATGCATGTATATGTCTGTGTATGTGTGTCTATATGTATATATAAATAAATTCATATATTAATGATTATAATTTCAACCATATCAATTCTCATATATGCATGAAATAGATCTCATGTTATAGTCATTATTCATGGTATTTAATCTAGGTAGCCGTAAATGTGTTTTTACCTTTTAATGAAGTAAGGATTTTGTGGCATATAAATGGAACATCTTGATATGGTGACTGCATTGAAAAGTGGTGTGATAAATCACTCTTCGCTTCAAGAGAATGTGATCCACGAACAAGCTCCACTTAAGGTTCCATTTATCATTGGTAAGTCTTATATTATTTCTGAATTTTTTCTCTTTTAATTTGGATGGTTATTTGGTTGTTGTAAGTTTATCTCAGTTTTCAACCAAATGCCTATTTTTAAAAAAAAAACAATTATTATTATTTGCATATTTGAAGGTGTTGCTGGTGGGACGGCATCTGGCAAGACGGAGGTTTGTAGCACCATAATATCAGAGTTTCATAATCAACGTGTAGTTCTCATAAATCAAGTTAGTGTTCTCATTGTAATCCGTTAGACATAATCATTTACATCTTAGTTTGATCTCTAAGCATAATATTTCATTTCATACATGATATCTCTAGGAATCATTTTATCTTCCACTCGATAATGATCAATTGGAAAGAGTCCACGAATACAACTTTGATCACCCCGGTAAACATGAACTGTGTGATAATTTTCTAATTAAAATTTAGAGGTGATGCATATGGATGAGCATCATTTAATATTTCAGATGCATTTGACCTGGAGCTTCTTCTTTCATGTTTGGAGACACTAAGAAGCGGACAACCTATAACTGTTCCCAATTACGACTTAAGGAGACACAAAAGCCTTGTGCCAATGCGTGTGGTAGTTACTTGTCAACTAATTATCCATTAAAAATACATAGCACTAATGTAACTCCACTGTTAATTAATTCTAGGTGCAACCATCTGATGTCATCATCTTAGAAGGAATTCTAGTCCTTCATGATCCTCGAATACGCAATCTCATGAACATGAAGATCTTTGTGGATACAGGTTCGTTCACAAACAATCACGCGGAGAGATAAGTTTCACATCCAGCAAATACAAAAAATAAAGTCTTAGGTAATTTTTTCAGACTCCGATGTTCGTCTAACAAGGAGAATTCAACGTGATACCCTAGAGTGGGGAAGAAATGTTCGAAGTGTGCTTGACCAAGTTAGTATATTGCTCAAACTTTTGTAAAGTTATGCAACAATAATACATTGTAAAATCATTTCTTTTCTTTTTGTATGGGAGGGGTGAATTATAATGTTATTGTCACTGCTATGTTCAACATATTATAGTAAGGTGTGTAGAAATTTATGTCTTAGTACTTAGATTCATTATTGTTCAATTTATTGAGGCATTAAAAACATATCAGCAATATATAGTATATACACAAAACAATCTTAAATAGGAGTTTTATTTCATTCTGGAACTAACTAATACTACAATGTGTTCACTACATGCAGTATGACAAATTTGTGAAACCTGGTTTTGAGGAATTTATTCTTCCGACCAAGAAATATGCTGATATTATAATCCCCCGGGGAGCAGAGAATAGTGTTGCAATTGATTTGATATTACAGCATATACGTACAAAGCTTGGTCAGAATGAACTTTGCAAAATATACCCAAATGTCTTTGTTATAAACTCAACTTTTCAGGTCAATTATACAGCTTGAGGATCTATACATATTCTGAATAATTGACATGGGCTCAAGATTTCACCTCTTTCTATTTCTAGATTCGTGGGATGCATACGCTTATACGTGATGCCAAAACAGCAAAACACGATTTTGTTTTTTATGCAGACCGCCTCATTCGTTTGGTATGAGTATATTAGGATATAACAAACTTCTATGTGCTAATTTCATTAATTTTTTCTTATTTGTACATGAAATAAGATACAATTTTATACTTAAGGTTGTGGAGCATGGTCTAGGTCACCTTCCATTCACGGAAAAACAGGTCACTACTCCCACAGGTGGTTTTGGTAGCATATGACCATTACATAAAAATTGGAGAGAAGTACTATATATGTTTGATTGTTTATTCAATTAACTTCTAGGATGATGACATAATGATGCATAAAAATTTACAGGATCTGTTTATAGCGGGGTAGATTTCTGTAGAAGTTTATGTGGGGTATCAGTCATCAGAAGGTAAGTTTGTTCTCTATTTTCTCCATTATTGTTTTCTTTAGTGTAATTTTACCATGTAAAAGTAGAGTGGCATTTTCACTTTAAAGTTATCTAACCAATAGAAGTTACATACTCCAAGAATTAATGCACTCAAAACAATGTATTTGTTAAGAAAAAAAGTAATATAAGAAAACATGAATTCAACCCTTAAAACTGCATAGCCTCAATTTTGTTTTTTTAAATTAATGCAACACATTTTATTGCACCAGTGGGGAAAGCATGGAGAATGCGCTTCGGGCATGTTGCAAAGGAATAAAAATTGGAAAGATTCTAATTCACGGAGAGGGCAAAAGTGGTAGGCAGGTCTATAAATTAAACTCAAAGCTTGAAATATTTAAGATGAAGTGTGTGATATGTTAGAGGTATTCTTCTCTATCAGTTCTACTACTATATATCATATATACCAAATTTTACTGTAGTTGATCTATGAGAAGCTGCCATCAGATATTGCAAGTCGTCATGTGTTCTTGCTTGATCCGGTTCTTGCTTCAGGTAGGCGTGTTTCATCTTACACGCGCACACACACACTTATACACACATGATATATACTTCCTCCGTCCCGAAGTGAAGTGCAAATTTTGACTTGCACAAAGACTAAAAAAGTATACAAATTTACAATGTGTTCACCATTTTGCCCTTTTCCTACTAAACTAGAGAGCACGACTGAAAAGCGGAAAGTAAAACTCAGAAGATGGTACATTTTCAATATTTCATGGTAAATAGATAGCCACATAGATAACATTAGCAGGGCTTAAAGGATGTATGCCTACAAGCTAAAATCTGCCGCCGGTGGGATCTGATGGTCACTAGCTAAGTGCAAAATGAAAGCGAACAAACAGACGCGCTGAATTTCCTCCGGTATAAATGTATAATATCTCCTGAAAGGCATAAATTTGATGGACATCAACGGATGATGAAGATAGTGATGAAATGATAGATTGCGGAACACTGGTCGGAGTGAGGATTTCCTCTGCCGGAGCGAGCCATATGCTAAGAATTGCGTCGGACCACCGCCACAAACATGTAAGAGTCCATTTTCTGGGAGAAAAGCTGAGAAGGGGTGTTGATGGGGAAGAAGATGGAGAACGAGGGAGAGAAGCTGGGATGAACAGATGAACAATAGAATAAGAGAGAGAAAATAGGGTGCAGAGTACTTGATAAGATATGATGGGTGGATTAATTCCTCGATAAATGGGTGTGAGAATAGAAAATGGGTAAGATAAAAGCAAGGGTACACTTGTCACTTTGTCTATATTTCATACTTAAAATAAAAAGTGGAAAATCATTTTGGGACGGTCAAAATAGGAAATTTTGCAAAAAAAAAAGAAAAGAAAATTGGGACAGAGGGAGTATATTTTTAAATTTTGAATTACTTTCATCCACACCTGATATACCCAAATCAACCTAGTTTTTTCACAAAATTTGACAGCATGAATTAAATTCATTGGAGCTATAAACAAAATACACAAATCAAATAGCCCATAGCATAATGAACCAGAGTAAAGTACAAAAAGTATACATTTTTCTTCTAATCATTCTTCCACGATAAAGAGAGCAGAAAATATGAAAATTTGAAACTAATCCCAGTTCCATAAGCACGTCAATTCATATTGCATCATCATCAATAATGCCTCATCATTCTATCAAAGGCACTACAACAATTTAAAAACCATTACATAGTCTCCCCCGACTTCTCTCTTCCACGAGTCTTCAACTATGAGTTCATCAACCCCCCATTTTTCATATCTTCCATATGGGAGATACCGATGAACTATGGAGGGAATCATCCCCTCTCATAGCTCTTTCATAGAAATCTCAAGGGGGGTCACCACCCTCTCCAAATCAACCATCACATGAACATTCATGTTGATCTGAAGAGCCTGAGTACCCAAAATTCTTGCTCTTTCATATTTTGTCATGTACTTTGATGTTTTCATAGGTTTTACACAACAACCTCTTCAAGTTTGTCTTCATCCTCTTTTATTATGGTATCTGATGGAGTATATGGCCCAGGAACCCCCGGCCCATAGACTCCTACTTCTCCTACACAAGTCCATTGAGCCCAAAAAACAACTCGGGCCCAAATACAACGGCCCAAGCCTCAAAGTAACCCAGAATACACACTGGGGTGCCTTCGGCCTCCTTGGCCGAAGGCTCCAAAACTCACAGGATAGCCTTCTCTGGCATAGGAAGCTGCCGGGAGAAGACGGGCGAAAACATGAGCCTTCGGCATTGTCGTGCCCTCGGAATCGGAGAAGCCTTCGGCTGAACCAAGCCTTCGGCTACACAAGGAGCCTTCGGTTACACATGGAGCCCTCGGCTACACCGGGAGCCTTCGGCTGAACTAGCTCAATCATCGAAGATTCCTTTTAGAGACAGCCAACCACCGCATTTAATGCCACGTCGCATCCGCCAACCGCATTCAATGCGGTTGACGTACCACTGCCGGTGCCACCAGGCTGATGTGACCCTTCGGCCGTTGGATTACTGACACGTGTCCTCTCATCGCATTTATTGCTGCTATAAATAGCAGCCCATTTCTCCTTGTAATCGACATCACAATCTGGATCTCAACTCCACATCTCGAGTTCATTTAATAAAATCGACTCTCTCTCCTCCTATTTGCTCTGACTTCTCTCTAAGTTATTCCCGTAGTAACCCCTCGGATAAGATACCCCCCGGGTAGACTATCCATCATTTGGTGCTCTCGTTGAGAGGTCTGAACTATCAGGTAAGAAACCCTCCCCCTCTACCAAACACAAGCCCTCACCAAAAATGGGAAGGACCACCCGAGCCCAATCCAAGACCCTTGAGGAGAACTACGTAGCCCCCGGCGAAACCAACGGGGCTGAGGCCTCCAACAGGCTCTTGGTACCCGAGGGTGGTGTCATCCTTGAGTTGGAGCAGGCTACCGCTGACCTCCGTCAGCAGCTACAGAAGAACGCCCCTGATGCCCGCATTGGCCTTGATAATCGAAGGAGGGATCGGAGTGAGAACCAAGTTCCCCCTCCGGCCCCGGCCATCGATCTTCAGGCTGCCTTTGCGGCCTTCGTCCAAAACATGGCTCTCAATTCCGGAGCCCTCGCCTCCCAGGCGCCCCTTCAGCCCCACGCTGGAGGGAATGTTATCCAACTACCACCACTCCCTCCTTTGTTCAACAGTCCTCCCCCGGGGATTGGCAACGCCGAAGGGGTCATGGCACAGGACACCGCCTCCCAAGAGGCCCAATCCAGGGATAAACGTCCCTTGATGAAGGAGAAACCCCGAACCTCTGCACTTGAGAGGCTTGGGGGAGCTCCCGTACGCCGAGGGGTCCAAGACCGCCTCGGCAAGCAGGAATTCAGCAGGCCTCAGGAGAGCGGAGCCTCCGCTTCGGGAGCCGAGGGCATACCTCCGCCCCGAAGCAAAGGCAAAGCCCTCCTCCATGCCGATGACGCCAGACACCAAATCAATCAGGCGCACTCCTTCCGGGCCAACTCCCAAGGGGTTGCCCCGAAGGATCCCAAGGACGAAATTATCGAGGCCCTCCTCCGCCAACTTGAGGAAAATCGTCAGGCACCCCCGACGGCTTCCGCAGCCAGGCCAGATCCGGAGTACGCTGACCTCCGGGCACAGGTGGAGGAAATGAAACGTAAACTTGCCGAAGGCTCGGGCGAGCCCCTCATCCAGCTCCGCACTAGGACGCCTTTCACCCCAAGGGTGTTGGCGGCCAAAATCCCCCACAAATATCGGGGGCAACCTATCAAACCATATGAGGGGAAGACGGATCCCCAGGAGCACTATAGTCGTTATCAAAACAGCATGATGATGATGGGGGCATCGGATGAGTACTTATGCCGTTGGTTCCTTTCCACCTTGGAGGGACCAGCGTATGAGTGGTTCAACCGGTTGCCCGAAGGCAGCATTGATTCTTGGCAAGAACTTGCCCACCGCTTCCTTACACAATTTGCAGGGAGGCACCGCTCAAAGAAACACTTCTCCCACCTCCTAAACGTGAGACAACAGAAGGAGGAAACCCTTCGGAGTTTCCTAGAGCGCTGGAGGCAAGCCTCCCTCGAGGTCGAAGGCGCTGATGACAGGACACTAATGGCCCTCTTCCACACCGTCCTCCGCAACGGTAACTTCTCCCGGAGCCTTATCACTGATCCCCCCCGCGATTATACAAAGGCCCTTCAGCGGGGGGACCGATACGCTGAAGCGGAGGAAATCGAGAAGGACCGCCGCAACACGGACCCCTCTCAGAAGAATGAAGGCAGGAATCGGCCCGGAGGGCCTCCCCCTCCGACCAACCGAGAGCCACAGTACAACGATCGCTCCCGAGGTGGCCAAGCCAGACCCGGGGGCGGTTACAAGAATAATCCGAAGGCATGGGCGCAACCCGTCCTCCTTGAGCACCCACGCACTCCCCTGACGCACCCCGTCAGCGTCATTCTTGAACATGCAGAAGAGCGAGGGCTCGTGGAGCGAGACTCCCGCACACCCCTCGAGATCTACGCCATCGGCCCTGATGAGCCCTATTGCCGCTTTCACCGCCACCATGGACACAAGACCGACGACTGCCATCAGCTGAAGAACGCCATCGAGAGGCTGATACAGGCGGGCCACTTATCTCAGTTCATCAGGGGCCCTCCTCCCCAGGGCCCCCCTCATCATCAAGGGCCTCCGCCGAAGGCTAACAAATGGGTGAACCCCAACACCATCCCCTTGGGAAACCCACAGGGGAAGAAGCGAGAAATTGGGGGCCTCGACGACGAGGGAGAGGGCTCCCATCAACAATACAAGCGCCATATTCATATGATCAACGGCGGCAACACCGGAGGCGATTCAACGAGCCAAAGGAAGAAGTGGGCACAGTCCCTCTACATTGGGGAGGTCAATCACATGCCCCCTACTAAAAGGCCGAGGGCGGATCCCATCTTCTTCACAGATGCGGACCTCCCCTCGGGCTCCCTGCCGCACAGGGATGCCCTCGTCATCCGCACTGAGATCAACGACGCCATCATCCACCGGACTTATGTCGACACGGGGAGTTCTGTCAACGTCATGTATCTCAGCACTTTTCAGGAGTTGGGACTCGACAGGGGGTCCCTTCGGCACATCAACACCCCCCTCTCCGGATTCACAGGGGATAGCATAGACGCCGAGGGCGTCATCACCCTCGTGGTTGAGTTCGGCGACGGATCCCATAGAGCCAAGCTCGAAGTGGAATTCGTAGTCGTCAGCCTCGACTGCGCACACAACATCATCCTCGGCCGGCCCGCCCTCGAGGATTTGGAAGCCGTCATCTCTATGAGGCATCTCTGCCTCAAGTTCCCCACACCCACCGGCATCGGCTACTCGAGGGGGAATCAAAAACTCTCCAGGGCCTGCTACCTTCAACTTACCAAGAAGGTTAGTAAAACAGAACTACGTGTGGACACCATCACCACCAGGGCCTTGGAGGAAGAAGAAGGCAGGCCGAGAGCTGAGCCTGCCGAGGAGACCGAAGACTTGATACTCGATCCGGCCAAGCCGGAGAGAGTCCTGAAGATTGGAGCCAAGCTCCCCGAAGACTTGAAGGCTGGCATCACCAAAGCCCTCCGCGCCTACTCCATTGTTTTTGCATGGGGGCCGGAGGATATGCCGGGAATTGACCGAAGGGTCATCACCCACCGCCTGGCGGTGGACCCTTCGGCCAAACCAGTACAACAGCGGAGAAGACCCCTCTCGGCCGAGAGAAGGGAGTTCGTGAAGAAGGAGGTAGCCATGCTCCTCTCCATCAAACATATCAAGGAGGTGAAATACCCCTCTTGGTTAGCAAATGTAGTCCTTGCACAGAAGCCTCCTACCTTCCGCATGTGCGTGGACTACACTGATCTGAATAAGGCGTGCCCTATGGACCCCTTCCCTCTGCCAAACATTGATCAACTGGTGGATGAGACCGCGGGATGCGAAATCATGTCCTTCCTCGACGCATTCCGCGGGTATCATCAAATCTATATGCATGAAGAAGACGCTGAAAAAACTGCCTTCATGACACCCGAAGGCATCTTCTGTTACCTCGTGATGGCCTTCGGCCTCAAGAATTCAGGCGCCACCTACACCCGAATGGTGGCCAGGGTCTTTCAAGCTGTCTTGGGGCGCACTATGGAGGCCTATGTTGACGATATGATTGTCAAAAGCAAGAAGGCCGGCACTCACGCCGAGGACCTCCAGGAAATCTTCGCCATCATGCAAAAATTCAACCTCCGATTGAATCCAAAGAAATGCACCTTCGGCGTGCAAGGGGGAAAATTCTTGGGCTATATGGTAAGCCGAAGGGGTATCGAGGCCAACCCCGAGAAAATTCAGGCCATCATCAATATGGAGCCTCCGCGCAACGTCAAAGAAGTTCAACGGTTGACGGGTCGCCTGGCGGCCCTCAACCGATTCCTCTCTAAGTCAGCCGAGAGGGCCCTCCCATTCTTCCAAATCATGAGGAAGACAGCTGGCTTCCAATGGACATCTGAGTGTCAAGAGGCCTTCGACGAACTTAAGAAGTACCTCTCTTCTCCCCCGGTGCTCTCCAAACCGAAGGTGGGGGAGACCTTATACTTGTATCTCGGTGTTAGCCCTGCGGCAATCAGCTCAGTACTAATCCGAGAGGAAGACGGCATCCAACACGCCATCTTCTACGTCAGCAAAACCCTCCGGGAGGCCGAACTCAGGTATTCTCCCGTCGAGAAGACGGTGCTAGCCATCGTTTGGACCGTCAAGAAGCTTGGCCACTACTTTCAAGCTCATCCGGTCCAAGTGCTCACTCATCAACCCCTCGGCGCCCTCATGAGGAGTCCCACTAGCTCCTCTCGGATGGTGAAGTGGGCCATCTTCCTCAGCCAATACAACATAGATATCCGTCCGAGGCCTGCCATCAAGGGCCAAGCCCTGGCAGACTTTGTAACGGAATGCACCGCAAGATCGACGGTGGATGAGGAGCCTTCGGCACCCCTCGATGAGTGGTGGACCCTCTATACCGATGGCTCCTCGGCTACCAAAGCATGCGGAGGGGGAGTAGTTCTCATCACACCCGAGGGCTTCCGCGCCTATTACGCCATCCGATTCTCCTTCAAAGTCTCCAACAACGAAGCCGAGTATGAGGCCCTGCTCTGTGGCCTTCGGCTGGCCGCAAATCTGAAGGCCAAACAAATCCACGTCAAGTGCGACTCCAAGCTAGTCGTAGGCCAACTCTCCGGCGAATATGAGGCCAAGGAAGGAAGGATGAAGCAATACAAGGAAGCAGCCAAAGAATTGCTTAAGGTATTTGAGGCACATTCCCTCACCCAAATACCGAGGGCTCAAAACTCTGAGGCCGACATTCTATCCAAGCTCTCGGATGAATCCCCCGAGCACCTTTCCAAAATTGCAAGAATTGAGGAACTCAGCCTCTCAAGCATCCACGCAAGCCCCGTCATGGACATCCACCTAAGGCCGGAGGACTGGATCTCTGACATCATCGCCTTCATCACCACAGGGCAACTGCCCCAAGACGAAGCCCGCGCCAAGTTAGCAAAGCTGAGGGCTCCCAGCTACAGCATCGAAAACGGGAGGCTTTACAAGAGATCTTACAACGGCACCCTCCTTCGGTGCCTTCATCAAGATGAGGCCGAAGTCGCCATGGAGGAAGTGCACAGTGGCACTTGCTCAGCTCACCAGGGACCTTTCTCCATGTCCCGAAGGCTCATAGTTCAAGGCTACTTCTGGCCCACGATGGCTAGAGATTGTGCTGATCTAGCCCGGAGGTGCACCGCTTGCCAACACTTTCAGAAAGCCCCCGGCAGACCAGCGGTTAACTATGCCCCCATCAGCACCGCTATACCCTTCTCCAGATGGGGGATTGACTTAGTAGGCCCTCTGCCGAGGGGTACCTCCAACAACAGGTACATCATTGTGGCCGTTGACTACTTCACCAAATGGGTGGAGGCGGAGCCCCTCGCCAGCATCACGGAGGCCCGGTGCCGTCACTTTGTCCTCAAGAACATTCTCACAAGGTTTGGCGTCCCCCAACAAATCATCTCCGACAACGGGACTCAGTTCGAGGCAGCCCCCTTCTGCGCCCTCCTTGAAGCTTGGGGCATCAAGCACACATTCTCTTCCGTTGCCTACCCTCAGGGCAACGGGCAAGTAGAGAACGCCAACCGAACCCTACTTGAAGGGTTGAAGAAAAAGCTGGAAGCCGAAGGGGGAGGCTGGGTAGAAGAGCTTCATAACATCTTATGGGCCTACCGCACCACCCCTCGGCGTGCAACAGGCGAAACACCCTTCTCCCTATGCTATGGCTTCGAGGCTAAGGCTCCCACAGAAGTGACTCTTCCCACCCGAAGGGTTGAGGAATATGAGCCCCAGGCAAACGAAGCCAACATGGCCCTCGACCTACATCTCATCTCAGAACGCCGAGAGCAAGCCTTCATCAGGGCTGAGAACTATAGGAGACAAGTCAAAGGCTACATCGACGCCAAGGTCCGCTCTCGGAAATTCCAGGTGGGAGACTACGTCCTCGAACCCCTCGGCAACCATATGCACCGGGGGCTCAGAGCAGTTCCCATACCGGAAGGTTCACTACAACTACTATTGGAATATTGTGGAAATTTGACTAAGTCCACAATTGGAGACCCTTCGGGAGAAAACCGGAATGCCGCCTAGAAACAGGCTTACAGCCGATGGCCCCTGATCTACTTGGCAATGACCTAAAGCTACACTACCAAACGAAGGCTAAGCATTTCCGGGGGCGTAAGATACAATTTTACTTGGAGAATTTCCTGAGTCTAATTCATTTTAGCCCTCGGCCCTAAAACTTCACCCCGGAAGCAACTACAAGGATTCTTTACCGGAGGTTGCCAATAGAGCTTTACTTTGATTATTTTCTGAGGTTTTGCGCTACACCCGAAGGGTTTTGACGAAAGTTTGCTTACAAAAAATTCTAAGTCCACAACGACAAGCCCCCGGCAACCTCAATATACGACTGGGGGCTCGTGATTGGGTTCACAACAACAACCCCCCGGTGATCTTACAATACAACCGGGGGCTGGCAAGAAATTGCACTTGGAAAATTTTCTAAGTCCACCAATCCCTGGCCCTCGAACAGGCAGACAGAAAGAAAGAAACGGACATTCATTCAAACAAAGGTAGGCACACGTTCATGAAGGGAAAGAACGAGGGCAGAAATAATTTGAAAAAAAATAGGGCATATCATTCATACAAGAAGCCCGAAGGCATGACACGTTCATAAAAAAGATTGCTACAAAACAAGTGTTTGTTCACAATACAATTAGCCGAAGCCAAAAGCCAATTGAGGTAATTTCTAAGCATGGGGTTCTTCGGTTGCATCTCCTCTCGGTTTGGAGACAGCGTCTTCTCCGGCCTCTTCATCATCCTCACCCTCTTTCATGAGCTCGGAATCCTCCAAGTCTGGCCTCTCTACGCCCTCGGGAAGTGGAGCTCTTACGTCTGGTTGCAGAGGAGGGAGCCCATATGCCGCTGGATCAAAGTCTTGGGGTTCAATATTGAAGTGCCTGGCCAGCCGTCGGTAGATAAGCTTCTGGGTAAAGAATTCCCCACCATCATAGTAGTCTTTGCCCTTGCGGGCCAACCATAAAGCCCCGGGGTCCTTTACCCAATCATCAACCGAGGCCTCCACCACCGAAGACAGCCATTTTTTGTGCTCTTCAGCCTTCCACCCCTCGGCGACGAAGGCGGCGATGGCATCTTTCTCTGCCCGAGCAACAGCCTCCTTCTTCGTGGCCTCGGCTACCTCCGCAGCAACCTTGGAGGCTTCGGCTGCAACCCTCTCAGCATCGGCCTTGCCCTCGGCCCTGGCGATTATTTTGTTATTCTCGAGGATGGAGTTGAACGCCTCCGTCTCCCGCCGGAGGGACTCTCGGACCTCCTGGAGCTGTCGCCGGGACTCCGTCAGGGCCTCATCGGCTTGCAACTTCTGCAGCTGGTATCGCTCCATCCTCTGCATCAGTTCTCCGAGACCGAAGGCAGCCTACAAACCAAGACAATCATATAACGAGGGCTAAGTTATCAAGATAAGGACCTGCTAAGCCCAAACAACTCAAGGAAAAGGAAGAAAAAAAGACTTACCGTGACAGAAGCTTGGAGAACCTTCGCGCTGAGGGCGTCATCCTTGGCCCTCGAAAGCACCGACTTGTCAGTCGGGGGCATGGCACCCTTTAGGAACTCCCTCGGGCTGAGGGTGCCGTGCATAATGGCGGTTCCCTTGGGAATGGAGAACTGCACATTCTCCCGGGGCCACGATATCTCAGCTGTTTGACCCGGGGCCTCGGAGGAGGAGTGTTCTTCGACAATGACGACGGGGGCGTTTTTCTCCTCGGTGGCCCCCTTCCTTTGCTTCTTCCCTTCGGGGAGCACCGTGCCCTTCCCGGCTCTCTTCTTCTTCAGCTCCTCGGCGTCGGTGCCCGCAACAGCATTCTGGGAGGGTCCCTCACCCTCCGGGACTTGAGTGGCCCCATCCTTCTTGAAAAAACCGTCAACGGGTTTTTGAACGCCCGTCTCCTTCTTCTTCGAGGGCTCCTTAGTTAGCTTCTTCTTCAGATGGGCGAAGGATCTGACGTCCATAATTTGGCCTGCAATAACACACGAGTGTCAGGATACGACAAAAAAAAAAAAAAATGCTAAGTACCAAAGCAAAAGGGCCTTCGGCAACAACCTCCGGCGCTTTCATAGCCCCGGTCGATGGGAGGATATCTCTCATCCTTCTCTCCGATTAAGCGATAACGCCTAAAGTCAAGCCGATATAACTCGTCCGGAAGGATGGCGTCTTTTATCTTCGTCACCTTATCGGACCCCTCCGGCTTAGCTATCAACTTCTTTCCCTCTTTATCAAGGGCCGCATTCCCCACCTTCGGGTGCCTTTGAAAGTGGTCCCGAAGGGGAGCGGGGAAAGGGTTCTCCGCCATCCTTATAAAGCAGAAGCGATCTTTCCAATTCTTGTGGGAGGACGGAACCTCCGAGAATAATCTCCACTCCGGAACCTGTTGGAGGTTGGCGAAGCCCCCAGCATGTGAATGTCCCCCTCGGCATAGGTTGAAAGATAAGAAGAACTGATCTAACGTTGGTTTCACCCCTCGGCTCCGGCATAAGGAGAGGAACCCCGACAAATAGGAGTGACTATTCGGCGTCAGCTGGCAGGGGGCAAGTTTCACGAAGCGGAGATACTCCATGACAAACGGGTGGAGGGGAAACCGGAGCCCTAACTCCACCGAAAGGATGTGCACGGCAAAACAACCTTCCGGGGGATGCAGTAACACGTCATTCGGACCCGGCTCTACCACTTGTGCCGACGGCCCAACTAGAAGCTGAGTCTTAAGATACTCGGCCTCCCCGGCTTTTGTTGTCACTTCAAGCGCGGCAGTGTTCAAATAAGAATGCCCCTCGGGTATCCCAACTGGTCGCCCAGCGTCGACGGCGGCCTGCTTTTTCTTTGGGACCGCCCTCAGCTTCCTCTTCTTCTTACCCGGAGCTACCCTCAGAGGCTCCGGATTCAGCGGCCGGGAGCTGCTAGCCTCCCCAGTACCACGTGGGGGCAGGACAGCGACAGTCACTTGCTGCCTTTCTTTTTCCTCCTCCTCCTCGGCGACTTGGAGCGCGAGGGCCATCTCCTCGTCTTCTACCACCTGCTCGAACTCTTCTGCCTCCATCTCTGTCCGGAGGGCTCCCTGGATCTCCTCAGCAACGACTGCATCGTTGCCGGCCGACGACTGCTCGGTCGAAGACTCCACTTCGGAGTAGCTTTCGGGTCCCAAGGATGGCTCCTTTGAGATATTTTGGGAGTCGCTACCGGAGGACATTCTGATACTAAGAGGGGGGGAGGGTTCTAAAAGAGGAGGCTATTCAATCTTAGCCGAAGGCCCTAAAAATCGCTAACGCTGGTTCAAAGCGAGGAGTAGCAAAGTGTGTTAAGGAAGAAAGCAACAGAAGAGGAACTGACCTCAGGAAGCTTGGGTTGACCGAGGAAAACTTTCTCTCTCTAGAATCAAATTGCCAGAGCTTCGCTATCTCTCAAAATCGCGCAAGCACAAATGAGCTCAGGCTCAGGGTATTTATAGGCAACTGGGCCTCGATATATGGGCCTCGATTTGAAAGCCCATCATTACGGGCCGCCGGATCAGCCAATGGGCGATTCCCGCCCACCGCCAGCCAGCGCCAGCTGGCCACGTCAACCCCTCTCCCAACGGCTATATTGCAACGGCTATATTTCAGAAACACTGGGATGCCCCCGAATGATAGCCTCCGGCTATCACTCACCGCAGCCCTCAGGCAACGAATTCCACCAAACGCCTTCGAGCCCATAGCAACATAGGCCTTCGGGTTATCAATGTAACCACCCCTCGGGGGGCTCATCAACTCATCATAACTCCTTCAGCCCGAACTTGCCTTCGGCCTCAAGGAGTGGGGGACTGGGATACACCCCTCGGGGATCATACACAACAAAAATTCCTTCATCCAGGCAATTTTCGATTGACATGTACAGCCTCCAGACAAACATCAAAGTGGAACCCCTTCGGCAAATCAAAATGTCAGAAATTTTCCAGTCACTGACAATGATGAAACAGCCTCCATCACAATACATACGGATATTATTTACACCTCCCTCAGAAAACCCCCGACATGTGAGGGACTGAGGAGAGGCTCCGGCATTCATACAAGTGTTATACTTCCTTCAGAAAACCCTCGGCATGTGAGGGACTGAGGGAAGCCTTCAGCAATCAGCCGAAGACAAGTTCTCCAGCAAAAGCACCCAGCGGAATGATGAAGCCTCCAGAAGAAGCGACACATCTACTCCTTTTCCCTCAAGTACCATTCGGCAAAAGGAGTGAGGGACTCCTGATGGAGTATATGGCCCAGGAACCCCCGGCCCATAGACTCCTACTTCTCCTACACAAGTCCATTGAGCCCAAAAAACAACTCGGGCCCAAATACAACGGCCCAAGCCTCAAAGTAACCCAGAATACACACTGGGGTGCCTTCGGCCTCCTTGGCCGAAGGCTCCAAAACTCACAGGATAGCCTTCTCTGGCATAGGAAGCTGCCGGGAGAAGACGGGCGAAAACATGAGCCTTCGGCATTGTCGTGCCCTCGGAATCGGAGAAGCCTTCGGCTGAACCAAGCCTTCGGCTACACAAGGAGCCTTCGGTTACACATGGAGCCCTCGGCTACACCGGGAGCCTTCGGCTGAACTAGCTCAATCATCGAAGATTCCTTTTAGAGACAGCCAACCACCGCATTTAATGCCACGTCGCATCCGCCAACCGCATTCAATGCGGTTGACGTACCACTGCCGGTGCCACCAGGCTGATGTGACCCTTCGGCCGTTGGATTACTGACACGTGTCCTCTCATCGCATTTATTGCTGCTATAAATAGCAGCCCATTTCTCCTTGTAATCGACATCACAATCTGGATCTCAACTCCACATCTCGAGTTCATTTAATAAAATCGACTCTCTCTCCTCCTATTTGCTCTGACTTCTCTCTAAGTTATTCCCGTAGTAACCCCTCGGATAAGATACCCCCCGGGTAGACTATCCATCAGTATCATATAGGTCTTCATTATTGGCATCCTCCTCTGCCTCAATTCCTTCCTCAATCGCATGCTCATTTGGCTCGTCATCATATCCACCATCCATCTCATCATCATCATCTGCCATTATTGTAGCTCTTGTTTACCCCAACCCACACATGCATTATATGTTGGGTGTGTTTCGGAAAATAGAAATTAGATGGACTAGGAAAAAGCCAGAGCACGTGCTAAGCATGATGTCCTTAAAACGTATTTGTTGCCTCCCACGGTGCTAGGAGCGTTGCAACGACCATTTCTCGGGACATGGTGCCTAACGAACGATCTTTTGAGCACACAAACGAAACTTCCAGCAAACGAGAACGTATGAACACTCGGGAATTTTCGGAGAGTTGGAGGTGAATTTAGCTCAAAAACTACGTGCTAAAATGAGCATTAAAGGAGAAAAACGTTAGACATTAACTGTTGTAACGGACCAGGACCGTTCTGGTGCGCGACCAGAACACCCGGTGGTCTTCTGGCCCCGGAGCGACCAGAACACCGACAGGTCGCCAGCGCACGCAAGTTGTCACGGTTTTTCTTCTCTGTTTTGGGGATTTGATTCGCATCCCCCTGCGCGCAAAGAGAGTCTTTCCCCTTAGGAATCTTAACTCCTTTAAGAGGGGTTCGCTTTTTAAGGGGTTCAAAATCCCTTGGGTTTTCCAGTGTGGGATAAATCACATTAGAAACTCATCCTTTTTCATAGTGTTTCCATTTTAACGAGTGAACTTCGAGAATCAATTTCTCATTCATTAGTTATCCGTTTTGAGTGTACCACATATCGAATTGTAGCCTTTAACAAGGACAATCCGAAACGACTTTGACCCGACCCAAATTGGAAGTGGAACCCACTCAAAATATTGCCCCAAATTGACCATGTAATGCAACTTTTAACACATTTTTCCAACATTACATGTGTGTATGTGCGCGCGTATGTGCGTGCGTGTGTGTACAAAACGACTTATAATTTATAGTGATAGAGTAGCTTGAGATTTTATATATTGACTTTTAGTTCTTAATATTATTTAGCAGTTAGCACACATACCAAAAACAATGAAATAGTCTTGTCAGCATATCTAAATTTCAAATCAGAGAAATAATACTGAGTATGAATGATATGAATATTTATTTAAATAGAAATTAAAACCTTATTTTGAGACGGACAAAAAATCAAACAATGTGAATAATGAGTTTAGGGGTGCACACGATAGAGTTACAATCCATAACATTTCTATGAAATATTAACTTGGTGTTACAAGTTTAATTTATTCTTACATCATTCATTTTGGCACCACTTCACACGCACATATACAAACAGGCAACTCTGCGGTGAAAGCTATATCTGTGCTGCTTAGCAGGGGAGTAGCAGAGTGCAACATCATTTTCTTAAACCTAATATCGGTGAGTGTGTATGAGATACAATAGATTTTGGAGTTAAGTAAAACTATATTTTCAATAAATAAAATATTTAAAAGTATTATATTAGTTCGTTGTTAAATGCATGGTTAATGCATGTATGTTACCTTTTGCAGGCGCCTCAAGGGTTACGTGAAGTATGTGAAAAATTTTCGAGAGTGAAAATAGTGACATCTGAGATAGACAGGTCACTCAACAAGGATCTACATGTGACGCCAGGCATGGGTGAATTTGGAGATCGTTACTTCGGAACTGTAAGCCCCACCATTGACAATGCTTCCTCTGAAAATAGGGTCACCAGAGAAAAACTTTGAAAATGTAGTATATTTATGAGGCTTGCAGCTGCTAATAGTGTTAACCATATTGGACAATATGCTTTGTATAAGAACCACAATTTTGAAGAAAAAAAGAAATTCTTTTAAGGAAGTAGGACGATATTTGTTAGTGAACAATATTTGTATGTTAATAAAGAATCATACAATAATTTTGCATTACTTACTAATAGGCACCGTATTTACCTATGTTTTAGATAAGTAATTATAGTCATACGTAATGGAGAAAGAGAGAAAATCAGGTAAAAAATTGTGTCGGAAATTATGATCCAAATCAAAGAAAATGAAGTCACCAGCCAAAAGGGGTTCAAAACCCGACACTTCCTAATTGGGAACCAACCAACAAATGGGCACCAGAAAAGAAAAAAACATTTGATCGAAAGCGACAAGGCGCCAGCCACACCACCTAACATGCGCTAGTTATGTGTAAAAATAATGAGAGAATGCCAAGAGAAACCTACCCCAGTCTCATGCCCAAATTGGCGCTGGTTTGGCTTGATTTTGCATAATACAGCACAACATGTAAGATATTCTTGAGTAGAAATCAAAATATGTGGAATGTGTGGCTTTAAAATGTTGTCTCAATTTGAGTGAGGATCATGAATAGACCATCAAAGATCATTTTATAGCCTATATAAACCCTCCAATCCATTCTAAATGCATCATTCAATGCATTGGTTCATAAATATTTTTATATAGTTTTTTTGTTCTTCATGAGGCGTGGAAGCTCATTTCTTCCAAATATTGATGTTTAGGTAACATTACCTTTGTATTTTCATGTTCTTATCATTTCAAGTAATGTAATCTTGAATAATATGAGTGTTAGAGGTTAAGTCCTTCAACCAAGGCTCAGGATGAACCTCAATGCCAGATAGTTTTTTTATATTTGTTCTACCTTAGCTTCTAAGTCAAGTTTTGTGATTTATTATTCTTAAATATAATTTTCCATATTTGTTATGAAGCATAATAGTGTAATCTATGTATTTGATATGAAGTAACTAACATTGAAATATCAATCGACACTAAAAGAGTAATTCACATTTTACCTTTTTTAGAATTAAAGATCCAACCATGTTGTGTAACATCTAAATGTTTAAATGGTCAACTAACATTGCAATATAGAACTTTCTCTAGAAGAATAAACATACAAAGGATTGAGGGTAGAAATATATCCAATCCTTTATGGTACATGTGTGGTATCTTAATATTCAATAGGGTTTTCTCTAAGTAAATGTGAGTCGTAATGGGACTCACATGTAGCGAAAACCACACTCGATCTCACTGCTTCAATCAGAATTGGGAATATCAGAGCGATGTCGTGTACTCATAAAAATGGGCAAATAACTTATATTGAATTCTAGTTAATGTTTGGGTGAAGTCCAATGTGTTGGTTATTTTATCATATAGTCACTGAAACAACAAAAAGCTATGCACTTTACATACACTACAACATTTCAACCCCTAATGTACCACCCAAAAGTGTTACAATGTCACTAAAAGTGTTACATTGGAGAAAATGTAACACTTTTTTACCATTACATTTGGTCATGTTGCATTAGACCTATTATAACACTTTATAGTCTCTAATGTAAAATTTATACTTCTATAAAGTGTTACACTAGGTTTAAAAAGTGTTGCATTAGAGAAGTATGTAACACTTTTATAGATATGTTACATCTTTAATGTTACGTTAGGTCTAAAAATGTAGTAGTGATATGTTCTCTATTTTAATTCTCAAAGCCGAACTTTATAGAACAATGTTTCGCTGTTAATTTGCCTCGATATATTACTGTAATTTATTGCTACATCTCCACTTGTATACTTTCAATTTTAGTCCGATCACTTACATTATTTGATTCAGGTTGGTTACTCTTCACATAATGTGAACAATCAATTAACCCTTCGCATAAAGAATATTATTGCACTTACGTTTTAATGTAGAAAAATATCTTAACTGACTCCTGACTTAAGCAAAAAAATAGACAGCCAAAATAATTTATAAGTTCACTATTAAAAGAATAAAAAAACTAATTTGCTCGGTATACATTGTTTGCCCCAAAACAATAGTAACATTATTATTTTTGGTGTGAGAATTAAGAAAATAAAGTTAGAAGTACTACCATGGTTTGAATGTGAATGTGGACTGAGAACGATCCATATATGATACGCCGACCATGCTCGTGTGTAGTGGAGAAGGCCTGTGAAATCGTGCATTGAACAAATTGATAGCAGCCCGGATAAAACTATAAAGTCTAGCCCGAGGTTAATATAAGAATATTAGTATTTAAATCCCACAAATTGGAGTAATTTGTGTGTACCTCAATTAGTCCTTGAGAATAACCCGAGGTTCGTATATGATTAGGTTCAGGACCATAATCCAACTCGAGTCTAAGGAGCGGTGTTGAATTGCATGGACTCGCAATGGTAGATGTAAGAATCGGGATTTGACCCGACTATAGAATATACATCATTCTCCCGATTATTATGGGCCTCTAGAGTGAATATATTTCCCAACTATATATAAGGATATTTATAGTTGTGACCCGACTACTTGTGATTCAACGGAGACAGCGGCGGTGGCTTGTGATTCGAGCTAGGTACCTGTTGCGCGAGGCCGACGGATCTGCTGGCTAGGGATTTCAACTTCTTGCGTATGATTAGGTCTGAAGGGTTGATACCCGGCGATGGCCCTCTTACGCAGATTGATATTTTCGCACATATTGTTGCGGTTCGGCCGGTATAGCAGCAAATAAAGTAATTTTTTTATCCAAAGGCTGCGGGTACCCCCGTGACCGCAGCAAATACTGATGTATTTTCAAGTTATTTGATGCGGTTCCTATTTAACCGCAACAACTAGGGAGCAGCAAATGTCAAAAGTTCTAGTAGTGATAATTTAGTGGTCCCCGTAATTTATAACGGGGTGTTATCTATCGAATTACCAATACTGGGTATATGGGTCTCGCTTGATCCACCGACCAACTCTATGTCATTTATATGGCCCAACATGAACATAAACCATCATAATAATATTATCTCGACCAAGATGAATATAATATGTGGTCCTGGAAATATTGGTTGGTCCCCTCCCCCGGTGTGAGCCCCACGTGCATTTTATTATTCACGTAAAAGTAATAACAAAAATTTACAACCTCGTATATTCATTACTCATTTCTAGGTTCAATACATGATTTGGTAAAAACTAAATATACTTGGGGATGGTGTTACAAGTTTACCCCCCCCCCCCCCCCCCCTATTTGAAATTTCATCCCCGGAACTTACGTGTCTAATCAAAAGGAAACGCGTATTGATCTCTCATTGAGACCTCGGTCTCCCATGTTTATTCCTCGACTTGACCACTCCTCCATAGTAACTTTATCATAGGAATTTCCGTGTTCCTCAGTTTCTTTACCTGCTGGTTCATTATCTTTACCGACTCCACCGTGTATTGTAAGTCCTCTCGGATCTATACCGATGATTTCTCAAGAATATGTGACGGGTCCCGTACATACTTCTTGAGAATCGATACATGGAACACATCATCAATCTTCTCAAGTTCGGGTGTCAACTTGGGACGGTAAGCCACGCCCCCAATCCTTTCAAGGACCTATGTTGCGTGGGTTAAGCTTACCCCTAGCTATGAATCTGATGACACCCTTCCCAGGAGAAATCATTAGAAAGACTTCATCCCCAACTTCAAAATCTAACTGTCTTCTTCGTTTTTCTGCATAGCTCTTCTGTCAATCTTGAACAGTCTTGAGTCTATCACAAATGATCTTTACATTAGTCTTGGTGATCTTAACAAGCTCTATACCTTCGAGATTGGCCTCACCAACCTCGTCCCAACACAAGGGTGTTTTGCACTTCCTCCCATACAATGCCTCATACGGGGGCATGTCAATACTTACCTGATAACTATTGTTACAGGGAAACTCCACTAGAGCCAAATGCTTGTCCCAACTCTCTTGGAACTCCAAGGCACATGCTCTAAGCATTTCCTCCAAAACCGGGATCACCCGCTCGGAATGCAAAGTTGTGCTAAACTTCAGTTTCCCAAAAATGCTTGAAATTTTGACCAAAATCTGGATGTGAATCGTGGGTCTCTATTTGAGAAAATGTATATACTTTGGCCAATATTTCAAGAGGATAAGTGGGGTTGATAGGTAAGAAGTGTGCACTCGGTGAGCCTAACAACCACTACTCATACAACATCGTAGTTGTTCACCGTTCATGGTAGTCCCACCACAAAGTCCATAGTCACATGTTCACACTTCCATTATAGAATGGTAAGTGGCTGCAAAAGTGTTGTCGGGTGTTGATGTTCCTCATTAACTTGTTGGCAAGTAAGGCATCAACTCACATACTCTGCGATATCCCTCTTCATACCCGACCACCAATAGCTTTCCTTCAAATCCGGGTACATCTTTGTTAGGTCCCTATTGTCTATGCATGAAAATGGATGCAAGCTCTCAAGAGTGATGAAACATCTATTGCATTGGTGAAGAAAGTTTTATAGAAGGATATTACAAAGTAGCATAGAAACTTTCTCCAGGCTCACTCCTCTCATAATGATGTGCGCAGAGAATAATAGTGAGGTGTGGAAAGTTGTCCCATCCCATTCCCCATAGGGCATATTTATAACCTTGGGAATGAGTAAGTCATTAGATACAATGATTGGGCCATTATTGAATAGGTCCAATATATTCCTTGCACTTATTTTATTCTAGGCTAGTCTATTTAATACTAAATTTAATACTTAAGAGACAACTAATGATTAATACATTGATCACAATAAAATATCTCTAACAATCTTAGTACCAACCAGGTGCATATCATAGGCCGAAGAATAAGCCTCCTCTAACATGGAGTTTTGGAGCTCTTCATTCATCGGTATGCATATGTGATCCCTAAATAACAAGAGATCATCTTCCCGTACACGAAATCAACAGGTCCCGCAAGGATCCGTTCAAGGATTTTCTGACATCCCTCATCAATGCTCAGACATCTCTTAATCTCATCAAGTAAAGTGGGGCTCACCTCAAACCTCGCTCCTAGCCCCCCCCCCCCCCCCCCGGCCCCCCCCCCGCTCGTGGACACATCCACACGCGCCCTTAGTGTACCCTCTTTCTTCTTCACAAAAAGTATTGGTGCTCACCACAGTGAATGACTTGGTCTACTGAACCCGTTGTCCAATAGTTCTTGCAATTGGACTTTCAACTCTTGAAGTCCCCCCGATCTCCCTCGAAACATAGAGTGTTTCCCTCATTGTTCTCGAGTTCCAAAATTTTGGTGTAGCAATCTACTCGAGCATAAAGTTTCTCAAGTCAATCCATCCTGAGAATTGCATCAAACTCCATCATGCTTAGAGGTACAAAGTCACAAGTCAAGGGTTGACCCGTCACTTTTACCTCACACAATGGATAATAATAGTTCCTCTCCACGTCATCTCCTAACGTGCGTCATTGGCATTAATGGCACGTCTAGACCTCCAGCAAACACTTCACTCACAAATGAACGTCATGCCTTGGTATCAATGAGAAATCTTGCATTTATGTCTTTGATCTTTAATGTTTCTACATATACAAGCCATGCAAGACACACTACCTGTCGATCCGAACCGAAATCGGGCTAAATGGAACTGCCCGACTACAAATTACATTGGACCGGAGCGTGAAATTTGTTCATAACAACTCTTTTATTATACTAGTAATATATATTTATTCGGCACGGTCTGGGGTGTGACATTTGTTCCTAACAACTCTTTTATTATAATATGTATTTATTAGTTATTTGTTTAATTTGTATGTAATTATATATTCAAATAAAAAGGAAAAAGTATTTTCTTTCATCAAAATTAATATTATCATACAAAATCTGGAGGTTCTAATACAAATCTCAGTATGAATAAAGTGATACAAATCTCAGTACAAATCTGGAGGTTCTAATACAAGGCTCCTTGTGTGTCAGTGCAGTGCAGTGATGTGTTGCTGACATCCATGATGATGCGGATCGTCCTCATCCTCGAACAGGCACGTGTTGAGAGTGGTCTCCCTCTCAGGCTATTAATACAAGTCACACAACTATTAATAAAGTAGTTGAAAAAAGTTAAATTTAGGTATAATAAAAGGCCTTTTTATTCTAATACTCCCTCCGTTTCTAAAAGAACCTCACACTTTCCTTTTTTGGATGTGCCAAAATAAAAGTCACACTTCCCTTATTTCCTTATTTGGCAAAGAAATCTACATCCGAACAATGTCAAACAGTGCCAAACAGTGCCAAACAGTGCCAAACAGTGTCCAAACAGTGCCAAACAGTGTCTAAACAGTGTTTTCTACAGTAAAGTCAATTTATTTCCTTAATAATCGTGAAGTCAAACCGTGACTTTCTTTTAGAAACGGAGGGAGTATTACTAAAATGAATGAAAAAGATAAAAAAGTGATCTGTTTTAAATTTTTCTAAATATGTGACTAAAAGTCATTTACTCCTTATTTTTAATCACAAACGAAGTATTTATTAAATTAATAGTCCATATTTGGTAGCCACCAGCACATCCAGACGCCAACCCTAGCACCACCTCCGCCGCCTCCGGAACCGCCGCATCCGGAACCGCCGCCGCTGGCACCGGAGTCACTATCTCAGTGACTCCGGCCAAAGTTACTCCGCCAAAGTGACTCCGGTCACTAATCCAATGACTTCTACCTAACTCCGGTCACTTGTCAGTGACTGCCGCACAACTCCGGTCACTAATCCAGTGACTACCACCGAAGTCCGGTCTCAGTGACTTCCACCCAAATCTCGGCACCGCCGCCGAAGACAACGCCGGTGACTTCCGCCCACCCAGCACCCCAGCTTTACCCTGATTGCCCCTCCCTGTCCCACAGGCCAACCCCAGACCATTCCAACCCACAGATCTGCTCCGCCAGTAGACTTAGATCCAAATCCCAGCCTCACACCTAAGCCCCAATTTCAAACCCAAGCCCCTAACCGCACCACCGTATGTAACCCTAGCCGACGGCTCAATTGATGGCAGTGGCGGGTAGGAGAAGCAGAGACAAGGAAGAATGAGAAGAAGAAGAGTTGTAGTGGGGCGGTGGGGCGGCGACGGTTGAAGTGCGGTCGAGCGGAAGGAAGTCGGCGGCTGGAGTGCGGTGGAGCGACGGTGCGTCGGCGGCTGGAGTGCGGTGGAGCGACGATGCGTCGGTGGCGGCAGTGTGGTGCGTCTGCGGCTGATGGAGAGAGGAAATAAAGTCTCGAATGAAGAAATGCCCATCTGGTTACGATGAGAAGCTAGGGATTTTGGTTTATATATGATTCAGCGTTTTGAGTCATATTTTTGGAATAGCCAAAACGGCTCATAGTTTTGTAAATGCAAAGCCGGGTAGTAATAAAGAGGCAATTCTTTCATAATAAAATGAAATACTCTGTATTGTATACCAATTACAACATACTAGTACGTAGTATTACTTATGGAAAAAGAAAATGTGATATTTATTTTGGACAAATGAAAGGGAAAGTAAAACATATAAACTGAAACAGATGACTAATAGAAAACAAATTATTTAGTGCGTGGCTTGCCTTTGATCGGAAGGGAAAATAATACCCTTATACGATGAATTAATTAAGAAGAGAGGTTGTAGTGTTGTACTGTCCGTGTATTGTGCGAATTAATTAATTAAAGTATAAGCAAGCTGCGTACATCGAAAAAAATCATTAAATAGGCCAAAGATGGAGCCGACGTACAGTTGCTAGAAACTAATAAATTAATTTCGAGGTGGTGGAAGTAATTAATTGAGAATGGAGTTTGGGGCAAGAAGAAGTGTTGTCGGACGTTTGTTGATGTGGTGGTGCATTTTGCGGTTGGGGGAAGGGGTTGATTTGCCGCCGTGTGATTTCCGGGCAATATACAACTTCGGCGATTCCAACTCCGACACCGGAGGAATAGCAGCCGCCTTTTTCCCGATGATATATCCCGCCGGCGAGACTTTTTTTCACAGAGCTGCAGGCAGGGGCAGCGACGGACGTCTTATTATAGACTTCATCGGTACGTAAATTAGCTACTCCGTATATATTACGAGTAACTAAATACTACAGTAGTATGTTTTTTTTAGAATGACTAATTAAATATGTTGAAATATGGAAATATAATGTTTAAAATACATTTTTTTTAAAAGATTAAGAGAAGAATAAAATGAAAATTGTTAAAACGACATTTTTCTGTAACTTCAGTCAATTTAATCAGAAAAACAACTCTTTATTTTGATCATTGCTCAATTCAGCCGAGGAATAAAATATTGTAGATATTTCGTTTGGACAAAAAATGAGCACATTTAAAAGTCAATGTGATCCTCGTACTTTCATAAAAAAGTCAATTAGGTCCCCGTACTTTTAAAAAGATCAATTAAATCGCCAAACTTTGTAAAAAAGTTCAATTGAGTCCATTTGCAAATTACTTGCCATGTCACCAAGCCACCCGCAAACGTGGCGCACATGTGGCAGCCCAATCAGCAATAATTTTGCTGACGTGACACACATGTGGAAGTTCGGTCAGCCATTTGCTGATGCCGTGGCGCACATGTGGACCACCATGTGTGCGCCACGTCATGGGTGACCTGCTGACATGGCAAGTCATTTTCAAAATGTACTCAATTGAACGTTTTTCAAAGTTCGAAGATTTAATTGATTTTTTTAAAAGTACGAGAACCTTATTGACTTTTTCATGAAAGTACGAGGACCAAATTGACAGTTTTTCCTAAAGTTGAATGTATCCATGATCACGCAGTTGCACTTCCATATCGTCAAATGCATTGTTAAAGTATATAGATATCAGTGTGGGACTTTAACAAAGTAGAAGTCTCCCCTCCAATGCAAAATAAAATAGATGTAATGCAACCGCCAACTGAGTTGGCAATTGAAAAAATGGACGAGTTCTAGGACGAGTTTCATATTGGGAAAATGTGATCCGCTTCTTAAAATTACTTCTGCTTTTTCAAGGATCAGAAACATATATTGGAGTGTTTGGTTGAAAGTGCATAAGTACTCAATTGCTTCAAACTGCTTTGAAAACAGTTGTTTAGAAACTAGAGGATGACAGCTTCTGAAAAACTGATTTTAATCATACTTTTGCGTTCCATATTGAAATCCAGAGTCCGTTTGGTAGCACCAAAATCGGCTGTTTTGGCTGATTCTGCTGAAATTTATGATATTCTGGCTGGAGTGGCTGTTTTGGCTGATTCTGCTGATTTAAGAAAAAAATATTTTAAAAATATATTTTATTAATAAATTAAAGAAAAAATTATATGTAAAAATAGCTAAAATGGTCCTCTACAGTAACATCAGCCAATACAGCCAGAAAAGTAACTCCAACCTTACTTTTTCGGCTTATTACACAATTCAGCGCGCGAAAGTAAAAGTTACGTGTTTGGTGAAAAAGCTGGCTGATAAGCCTGATAAGCCGAAAACAGAGTTCTCCAAACGGGCTCCCATATTAGAAACTACAGAACTAATTCTAAACACCCCTAAGTTCATATTTAATGCCACCTTCTGAGTTCTGACAGAGTTAAAAAAGGAAATTTTGAGTATGTGTGCATTTTATGTCATAGAGTTTTTTTTTACTTATATCCGCATTTCAAATAGACGTTCCTCGTTATTTGGCCTCTTCAGCATCAATGTGAAGTATTAAAAATGCTCTTAAATTAATACGAAGTATCAATTCCAAACACCTATTATTACTTATCTATAATAATGTTTTTGATATTTTTTAATGGTTTTGGACATTTTTTATGTGTAGCTGAACATTTGAGAATGCCACACTTGAGTGCATACTTGGATTCCATAGGAACAACTTTCCGGCATGGTGCGAATTTCGCGACGGGCGGTGCAACCATTAGAAGACAGGATGAGTCGTGGTTCCGGAATGGTGTTAGTCCATTCCCTTTGGATATTCAAGTGGAACACTTCACCCAGTTCATAAATAGATCTTCCTACTTCTATAACCAAGGTTTTAAACAATTACATATTAATTTCATGTCTATTTAAATGTCTTCATCGACTAAAACTTACTCATACCAAAAAACTTAATTTGAATGGTCAAATTATCAAAGGTTTACATACTAACTTACTCAAGTTATAAGAGTTTTAAAAATGTGGGATTTATGGTTCGGGATGACATCAATATGAGGTCATTGGCACACACAAGCATTAGTCATCCCTTCCTTTCCTTCGTTTTTGCTTTAGTTTTTTTCTTCCTATCAATGCTCCCTATTAAATTAGAAAATTCCAAGCGTACAAAGTGTACATAAAATCCCCTAGTTGTCTATATACACAGTCAATTCGTTTGAAAAGGGACATGATTTGATGCCGAAAGCCTCCTAGTTGTCTATGTACACATGCAATGTACATTTTGTGTACACCGAGAATCTCACTCATTAAATTATAAGATCATTTGTAGTGAGGAGGGATTAAGATTCCAAAAGGCTAAATGTGAAACTTTTTGACTCCTAATTGTGTATAGTGATGGATTAAAAGGAGTATTAAAAGTGGAAAGGGGGGCACAGAGAGTTGAAAAGTGTGGTTGACGTCATTCCCGTGTCATTAAATCCACTACTTTATTAAACTCTTTTAACTTTCTTATTTGTTTTCCATATTTTTTGAAAAAAACATATCAAAATTTATGAATTTTTATGATTGTTCATATGACATCAATATTACATACATAAAGTGAAAAAAATCTAAAGTTTTAATTGTTGAGTTTTCTGGAGCCCAAAAGCACCAAACACAAATTTTTAATCATGGAGCCTCCATAAATAACTGAATATTGCATGATCTCATTTTATTTTTTATGAAAGCTAAAAAAGTATTTAAAAATAAATTAACAAATTTTTTAACATCGAAATGTTATTTTAATTTCATAATTATTCATACAAAAACAAAAAAAAATAGCATTCCTTATAATAATTAAATTAAATCTTTTGATAAACAAAAAAATAACATTCCTTTTAACTGGTATGTTTTTTTAGTGTATTTTATTGGCAGTGCTGGAATGTAGGGAAAAAACGATATTGACGGAGTCTAAACACTATTTTCATATCAACGGAGTCCATATTTAAGTTTTTAGACTGCGCAGAGATGCGGACGGTCTTAATAACCCTCTCTACCACATTTTCCAACTTTTAACACACTAATTAATCTACCAATGCACACCATAGGAGTCCAAAAGCTCTACATTTAGAATTTAGGGATCTTAATACCCTAGCGCTATGAAGTATGAATGGCCTAACTACCACCTCGAGAGAACAACCAACATTGGAGTGTCGCCAGTTGTTGGTCACTACCGGAAATCTACCAACTGTCATCAAACAATGATCGTATTGCGGTTCATAAATCCTAGAAAATTTTACATTAAACTCTAATGTAGATTGATAGACCTTAAATCCTAGTGCTAAATTGGAGGGTAGAAAAGTAATTGTAAACCATATATATTTAGGAAATTTAAAGTGTGCACTTCTAAACATTTTGTTAGATCCCCTAGATTTTGATGATAAATGTAATAGTTTTGATGATGACACCTTTTTTTATTAGACTAGTCTACTACTTATCAGAGGCGGCCATGAAACCAGTTTGGCTAGGCATTTGCCTAGGGCCTCTTAATTTGTAGGGGCCTCAATTTGTTTTTTATATTAGTAGTATTCGAATTAATCTGATCCTGGAAAGCACGGAAGGCTCAAGGCCCCCAGACCCCCTACTACGCTGCCCCTATCCATTTGAGAATCCTGGCAATTCCAATTTCTGTTGACTCTTTATTCCGTTTTATTGCTTCCTCTGTGGCCTTCCAATTTCTGTTGACTCTTTATTCCGTTTTATTGCTTCCTCTGTGGCCATTTTCTTCCAGAGTTTCGGGTCAAATTTCTGTTCCAATTCCATCTTAGAATTCTGAAGTTATTTTGCCTGCCATTTGAGAGTTTTATTCCAATTCCATCGTAGCCTTCTAGCTAGTCCCAAGCATTAGTATTACTTACTTAATTCGTATTAGGCTTGGCAAAATAATTTCAGAATTTGACCAGCTTCTTCACTTCATAATTGACTGAATTTTAATATGTGATAATGTTATTATTATTAGTTTTTACATTAACAATTTATAATTGGAATTGAATTATTCGTTTATTTATTTTGTTAGTAATATTGTAATTTACAATTGTAGATTTTAATTAAGTAATTATTGATTTTAGGTTTTTGTTGGTGGTTTTTTATTAATTATTATTTAGAAATATGTTAAATATGCAGGTATTGTCGTGACAAATAAAGGAAAATGTGAGTTGAAATGTGCAAAGAAAAAAGGTTGAGAAACCATTTGAAGCTTTGTTTCTGATATTGGGCATTTATTGTCTTTTTACCTTATTTTTTAGGACTATTCCTTATACAAACCACATTAATATAATACTTCCTCCCTCCCTTAAAACTCTGTCAACTTTCGCTTTTTAGATGTCCAACTAAATTTGTGCATTCCTTTTTAAATAAAGAAGGAAAAAGGAGCAAATAAGCCCACGTACTAACTAAAAAGATCAGATTTAGGAGGCTCTGTCCGGCCGTCGCCATTTGGGGTGGTTCCCGGTGGAATTTTTTGATGAAATTTTTTGAACATCTTATTCATTCAGTCTAATTTACGCATACCACATTTCAGCTAAAAATTCAATCGGGAAGGCCTTCAAATGAATTCTTGAAGATAATTGCGCAATTAAAAACGCAGTTATCTTCAAGAATTCATTTGAATAAACTGGACTAAATGAGTAAGATGCTCAAAAAGTTTCATCAAAAAAATTCACTGGGAACCACCCCAAATGGCGACGGCCGGACAGAGCCTCCTAAATAAGGGCTTATTTGACCCTTTTTAGTTAGTACGTGGGCTTATTTGCCCCTTTTCCCCATAAAGAATTTGTGGTTCCAGTTAAATTATCTCTTCTTTGCACAAACCTGAATCACACAATTTTTACTTTATTAATTCTCGTGTCGGTTAAACTTAACAAAGTTTTAAGGGACGGGGGAGCATGTGAGTATTATGCGTTTTCTGCCTAGGGCCTCTAATATCCTAAGGCCGCCCCTGCTACTTATGTTCTGTTTTGTTTAAAGTTGTAATGTGCTCCATATTAGTGATAAAGTACTCATAAAAAGCAAACAATACTAAAAAGAGAAGTTAAATGTACCATAAAACAAAAGAAAAAGATAAATTAAAAAAGAAAAGGTACGAAAAGAGTTAACTGGTATTCATTGTTAAGGAATGAGTTAGCTGAAAATTGCCAGAAATCGGCAGCCAGCTAATTTTCTGGGCAGCCAGCTGAAACTGGGTTTTTAGCTAAACTCATCCGAAATCCAATTCTCTCTTCTTTTAGCACAAAACACTTAAACAAAAGACCAACTTGCAGTCAAAATAACAATTTCATGAAAAGTAAATTTATAAGAGATTTTAATGACATTATAAATTTCTTATAAATTTATTTTACTAAAAGCAAGTGTTCATTATTTTGTAAGGAAGCATTGAAATATGACTCAGCTTTATACTAGTTTCTACGCGTGAAAATAAAGATAAAATATCTTTTATCTTGCATTGAAATGTGTAAACTAGTTGAACTGAAGATTGTTGATCTGTGTCACTATGTGACAAAGACAAACCATGCTGCCTCAGTCAAGTGGAACAAAGCAAATAGATCAAGCTACGGTCAAGATTCATTTCCTCAGCCAATGGTGGAGATGCAATGATCAAGTCTATAAATACAGGAGTGTGGGATTACCAAGAGTGGTAAAACGAGAGGAGCCAAGTGGATAGAAGGAAATCATACTCTACACGAAGAAATCCAGTTAGCTGATTTCCCTTCTACATTTCGGCTGCCACCCCACTCGTCTAATGCTCTTAGACTAGCTACAATTCATACAAATCTATAGAGCTTAGATTAGTTGGTAGTTTAGCAATACACCCATGTATTCCAGAAGGTGAGAAAGGCAAGGACATGAGTAGTTCTTGGCGAGTCAATGCCATTAGTGAAAAACCTTGGGAGGACTGAGTAACTTGGAACGATGTTTAAGTTCCTTGTGAAAAACCTCACAACCTACGTCTGGGCCAAGGGTAGGTTGGGGCACTAAATGTAATGGGGTATTCATTTAGTGAAAATCCATCTGAAATAGGTTGGGACTGGATGTAGGAGGATTACACCACATCTGAACCAAGATACATCGTGTGTCACCTTTTACATTCTGCTCCTAACAAATATTCAGTACTCACTCACCTTCACCACTACACAGCAAAACAACTTGCTTACTAAAACTGACTAGTGAACTTTCCCAGTTCACTTTGAGTCATCTCCCTGTTATCTGTTCTTCAAAGTGACTTATTCCCATTGGTCTAAATCCTTCTTACTTATGTGTTAGACTATGTAAAGCCAGCCAATATGTTAGAGTATAGTTCTTCGCTATACCTTAACTAAAACAAACAGAAAAACTATTTCGGCAGCCTGCTCCTAAGGATTGGCAGTCAGCTCCCAAAACTGTCTGGCAGCCATCTCCTTCAGGTTTCGGCAGCCTACTCCTAGAGTCATCTGTTTCTGGCAAACACGTTTGTACCACGTTTGCACTCATCACATTTAAGAAATTATTATTATTATGGATTCAATGTTCCAAAAGGTTGAATCCTCAACCTCAAGGGCCCCCACGCCCCAACTCGATAAAACATTCGGGGGTTTGTAAGTCATGGTGACTCAGTTATCCTAATGGTGGTATACCTTATACCCGTACGCACTAGAGTTCCAGTTCTGCATACAGGGGCTGTAACCTCCACACGATCGCAATGAGTTTCAATCCTTGATCATTGTTCCAACTTTCTCTCCACTCAATCAATTGAGTTATCCCAAATTATGGATTCAATAAGTTACCAAGTGTAACCTTTCTAGCCATTAAAAGAGAGCTCTTGACGAATAGAAGAGAAGATGATTGATGCCCGGATCCAAAGCTCTTGGGCCATAATGAAATATCAGATACACATTTCTTAAAAAAATTCAAATGTGGAGTGAGTCGGGGCCTACATGCCACCCACCTAGACCCTACCGAGTTAGCTACTCCTCTATATTCAAGCTCTTTAAAAAAAATTAAGAGGCCCTTAGGTAATATGAAAGTAGCTGAATTGAATGACTTGATTCTGTTGAAATTTATGAAGTTCTGGCTAAAATGATTGGATTGGTTGATTTTACTAACTTATGAAGAAAAAAAATTAAAATATTTTTATTAATAAAATAAAGAAAAAATATTACTAGTTGAAAAAATAACTAAAATGATCCTCTACAGTAACTTCAGTCAATAAAGCCAGAAAATAACTTCAAAAGCTACGTGTTTGGTGAAAAAAATGACTGATAAGGCGGTAAACAGGGTCACCAAACGGGCTCGAAATATTAATCCAATCGGAGTATGAGATATACAATTCCAAATGTGGTCAAATATAAATAAGTTATAAGTGTAAATATTAAGTGATGTTATATAAATGTATAGGTAATCAAAAGTTTCGTGTTTAGTGAAAAAAGTCGGTTGATAAGTTTGATAAGCCGAAAAGCAGTGTTACCAAACACGCTCTGAAAATGTTCCAAGTAAGTTGTGAGCTTTATATATGATAGGGTCAAAAAAACAATGTGTATATAAGAATAACTAGTTTATTGACTTTTTAATACATATATTTAGCATTCTAACTTTTAAAAATAAAGATTGCATTCTGATTATTGAAATTAATTTATAGATAGACAGACAAATAGGGTATGTTTGGCAAATGGCTGTTAGTTGTTGTTGTTAGCTGGTTGTGTCAGCTGTTTCCTAACAGCTGGTTGTGTTAGCTATTTTGACCGGCTGGTTATGTTAGCTGTTAGTCGTAAAATTGGTTGTTTCGAAATGGCTGATAGAGTGTAAATTGAACCAGCCGAATGAATAAGCTGCCCCCCTTAGCTTCTTCAACAATCCATTTTTTCAGCTTTTCAAACTCAACAAGCTAATTTTAAAAGTCATTTACCAAACATCATTATTAGCTTCTTTGACCAATCAAACAGCTGAAATGGGTCAAACAAGCTAAAAGCCGGCTGATAAGCCATTTGCCAAACATACCCATAGTCTTTTGGCGGTTTAGTCGTAATAATCATACCTAACAAAACCTTAGGTACTTATATCCTTTTTCAATTTGAATAAATATGAACTGGAATCAGAAATTCAGAATATTATTGATTGAGAAATCTTTTAAATCGTTATACCCTAGATGACTAGATCGAAGCATGAACAAAGCGAGACCAGTACCAATATGGGAGCCTGTTTGGTAACATTGAAATTGTCTGAATTGGTTGCTTCTATTGAAAATGATGAAGTTTGTAACTTTGTATGAAGCGGCTAAATTGGTTGAATCTATATAAATAAAATAAATAAAGAATTACTCGTATATGAATAATAGCTAAAATAATCATTTTCGCCTCTACGTTAACTTCGACCATTTCGGTTAGAAAAGTAATTTCAATCTTATTTAGTTGATTATTACGTATTTCAAAACGTGAAATCAAAATTGTGTGTTTATTGAAAAAATTAACTGATAAGGTTGATAAGTCGAAAACATTGATCACTAAAGGTGCTCTAAATCTAGTAGGAACATAAAAGGTAGACCCGACAAGTACTGATTACGGGTTTGGGTCTATCCTCAAAGAGTGGCTAGGGATCCAAATCCGGTCTAGATTTAACCCATCGACATGCCTACCCACAACGGGAGCCTCTATTATTAAGCCCAAACTAACTATAATTTCTTTTGCACTCCCATTTCCCAGACACCCCCAGGGAGCAGTTCATTGTAGTAAAATTACAAGTAGGAAGGGAGTATTAGCTTAATTAGTTATTATGATTATACGAGTACTTCTTAAGAAATACTTTTGTTTCAAAGAATTAGTGGAACGAAATAGTCTATTCTATTGGTTATGATCATTAGTTTATTACGATGTATGTTACCCCAGCCCCCCAGGCTAGATAGCTAGTTTCCATAATCATACATATATCACGTACTATATATATAGAGACCGAGCTTAATTGCATGCCATTGCCAGAAAAAAGTGAAAGAGATAGGCTGCCGGTGCCGGGCGATTTCTCAAAAGCACTTTACACGGTGGATATTGGCCAAAACGATATAGCCGCTGGGTTGAGAGTGGGTTTGGAGCAACTCCGGAACACCACACCCGACATTGTAAACCACCTAGCTGCCAATGTTGTTGTAAGTTAAATTCAAACTCCTTTATACTTGAAAGTGTAAAATAACTTTGACACTTGCTGCTTTTTTTCTTAATTATATATGAACCGTGTCGCTTATTCTATGACCCAGCCTCAATCAAATGGGTTTGTTATCGCCAGAATTGGAAGTTTGAGCGTGCTAACAATAAATCACAATGATGGTGGTACTCATGAGAGTAATGAGTTAATGACTTTTGCTGATTAGTTCTGAATGGTTGCAGGATTTGTATAATAGAGGGGGGCGGAGTTTTTGGATACACAACACGGGACCAATAGGATGTTTACCTGTATACACAGTGAAGGCCAACAGGGAAGAGTTGGATGAGAAGGGTTGTGTGAGAAGCCATAATGAAGCAGCCATGGAATTCAACAAGCAACTAGAAGACAGGGTTGTTCAGTTAAGAACAGAGCTCTCAGGAGCTGCACTCACCTACGTAGACATGTTCCAAGCCAAGTACACATTGATTGGGAGTGCAAAGGATCAAGGTAATCCAATCCGTTCCATTCATTGCCCGGCTCATCATAATCATCAAGATCATTCAGAAATACATGTAGAGATTACCATACGAGATCTAACATGCTTTTTTTGTAACAAAGTTGTACTTGTGCAGCAGGTTTTAGCCAACCCTGACATATAATTTTGTTATTCACACCAATACCACACGGACATACGCTTACAAAATCACAGTAAAACAAAACCAGCCTAAAAACATCAACTTTGTATACTCTGTCATTTATAATAATAATATCATGTAATTACATACTCAAATCTAGTGATTTACAGTGTTTTTGTATGAAAAAAACACAGGATTTGAAGACCCGTCCAAGATCTGTTGTGGATACCATGATAAGAGATACGATGTTTGGTGTGGGCACAGCGGGATAACAAACGGGACAACGGAGGTGTATGCAGGATCATGTGAGGAGCCGTCTAGCGTAATAAGCTGGGATGGCGTACATTATACTGAAGCTGCTAACAAATGGGTTGCTCTTCATATTGTGAACGGGACATGGTCAGACCCTCCAATCTCCATCACAAGAGCTTGTCAGGCCCAAATATAACTCTTAAGAAGACTGTACTGTACAAACAAAACACGGGTGTGCACTCACACACACATATATGTGGCCACAATTGATACCATTATTCGATACAGCAGGGATCAATCTGTAATTGTGTTATTCTGAGGGATGAACTAAATAAATACACACGCACAAGAAGCATGGTCTTCTAGTAGACTTTTCTTCCAGTAACTTATATTTTGGAATTGCAAGGGAACATGCAAATATAATGTCTAGTTAAGTTACTGGCGATGTCCATCTGGAAGGGCAACTACCCTGTGGAAGGGTACTGATCGTGAAGGTAGAGATCCGTCTTCCTCCTCATCATCGTCAAATTCTAAAACGTAACTGTTACAATGAGAAAAGTCATGTCATATTTCATTATACAGAAACGAAGAGTAAGGTGTCTTGCGTGGCTGACGTTGTATAACATAAGCTTGTCTGGTACTGGTAAAACTTTGCTAAAATGACTGAAGTGGTTGAATTGACTGGATTTTCAAAAATTATGGTTGAAATAGTTGAATTGGCTGAATCATTCAGCCAATTCCGGCTATGACCATGATTTTATACTATACTTTTTCAGGTGATCCCATTATGATCCTCTATTCGATAAAATTGAAACCAGAACCACAAACACAACTTACACAAGTATATTTAACAGTCCATTTGAGCTCTGATCCTAGATAGATTGGTTAAATTCCAGTCCGGTTCTTAACAGCCAATATCGGTTCCAATTCTGGCTAGAACCGGAACCCGTCAACATCTTGCTGAAATATCTAAATGCAAATCAATTTTAATAAAAAAATTATGCATTTATAAGTGAAGTACGGCCAATAATGCCTGAAAATACGGGTAAAGATGTCATTTTCTTGCTTTTCAGAAAGAAAAACTATCGCACTACCTTTTTCTATTATCATATGACAACGCAATCGAAGTAGACGTTTGGTAGAAAATCTAGTTCACATGGCTAATCAGCAAAAAAAAATATTATAGCAAATGGCACAATCTTACTCATTCATTTTCTAATTGACCAATTTAAGATATATAGAAGTAGGTAATCAAGAAGTTTAAGGAAAGGGATCACTTACTCATCAGTCTTCTTCTGGAAAGTAAAAGACAAATGGTGGGAACATGAAATGAAGCAATAGATTATGTCAATATCATGATATGACAAAATGAGGTTAACATTACTGCAAATACATAAACGAGTAATTACCTTACGAGATTGGAGCACTGTTGCTTTGTAGAGGGCAGTGGTTCCTGGGTAAACCGCCAAAACTTGCCTGCCTGGAGGAAAATCTGGAGTACTAGATGGCTCATTCCTTTTCGGGAAAGGTATAATATGTGACCATGGAAGTTTGTACTTTCTGAAATTAGCAAAGAGAGTAAAATGTTTGATTCTGTTTAAGCTAGTGGACTTAGTTCCACTATTAAACTAAGAGAAATAATTTTATATATCAATCCATACGTAGAACAAAAAGTTTCTACATTCAGTCCAGAAAATACAGTAGAAAAAGCATATCAGTTACTAAAGACCGAAAAACCACATATGTGACATGACAATTGGTCCATTTGACACAGGGAAAATGATGGTGATAGAAAATAGGAAGGAAACTACAAGAGAATTTTGGAATGAAAGATATTTTGGTGAAAAGTAAGAAATTGGTTCAATCTCAATAACTGAATTTTAGATATTTGTTCAAAGTTCAAACTCATTTATTTATTCTTTTGGGATTAAGGTTTGGATGTTGTTGTTCAAACTCATTTAGTTATATCTTTCCATTATATAAAGACGATGAAATCCAGACATAGCCTAAAGCTAAAGGCATAAAGCACAATACTTCTATAGGAAAACAAGTTTGCAGAAAGACTTGATGTAAGTACTATATAACATTATAACTATAATATAAAGAGTTCAGCCATATTTGGTAGTTTTACAAACTCACAGTGGAACAGCATTCCTCTGACCACCACCTTCCTCATCATCAGCAGGTTCTTCATCCAGAACTTCAAACCTACAGATGTGCACACATACATCATGAAGCATACTGTGAACAAAAGCAATAGGACAAAAGCAGATCTCCCTGTTTCTTTGTATGGAATAACCGACTAGCTGTCTACCAGGTTTTGAATCTGATCTATAATTGTGAAGCAAACCTCATCCCTTGGGGATCCTTTTGAGTGGGTTATCTGGTGTGATAGTGGTCTGTGGGCTGCCTAGACACTTTAGTTTAGGGCAAACCGTTTGGGGTAGGTTTAGGTTCATTTGTCCAGTACAGATTGGGTTAAAGGGGTTGTTGATTGCCACATATCCATTTTCTTCTAGGTTTGAATCTAGTATATACATGAGGTAACACCACTTCCCTTAACGGGTTTAATGCACCGAACCCCATCGTGAAATATAAATTCGGGCGCATTAGCCCATGTGATTTAAAAAAATGTGTCAAACCCTCCTTTATTATAATTATTCAAGCTCAAAAAACCCTCCAAGAACAAATTTTACAATTTCGAAATCACTTTTCTTAATAATATGATTGAATATGCAAGTAACTTTGTCAAAATTACTAAATTATACAAAAAAAAAAACTGATCATTTTTCATTTTTTTGGCATTTAAATTTGTTCATAGAAGGGGGTTTTGCGCATGAATAAACATAACACAAGGGGGTTTGACGCATTTTCTACATCAAAAGGGGCTAATGTGCCGAAATCATATTTCACGAGGGGGTTTAGTGCATTAATCCCTCCCTTAACCTATAAGTTGTTGGTGTATGAATTTTCTGAACTTTTTACCATTTAGACACCTAATTTATAAGCAGTGCTTACATTTTAGTATCTTTTTCAAAATTGGTAACTTTGACAATGAACCACTCATCTTTATCTGGGTCCTCTTGAATGACCCTAGCTGCCACCTGTCATTTAAATACACACTTAAACACTGTTTAATTCCTTCAAAATAATAAAAATTCAATCTTTTATTATTATAACCATTTGTAGAATAAAATTTCCCACTTGTGTCATCTTGCAGATATAGTTCATTTTCACTTTTAGTCCCTAGCATTCATTTTTTCCACTTTTGGTCATTTACGGCCACTGACATAACAAAAAACGACCAAAGATTGTACAAAAATCGGCCAAATAAGTGGTCAGAAGAACCAAAAAGTGGTATGGAACCAGTCATGCACCAACAGTGGGAAAAGTGAAAGTCGTGAACTAAAATAGGAGTGACATAGAAAGGATACATTCATAGTTGTCATGGCGCATGGCGATCGCCATGGCTCAAAGGCATTTTTCATGGCGCATGGCAATGGCGCATATACAAATGGCGCATATACAAATGGCGCATATGGCGCATATAGCGCTATGGCAACGATCACTTTTTCATGGCGATGGCGCATATGGCGCGCGCCATATCTCGAAAGGATACATTTATATGGATACATGATTCTAGAAAGGATACATTTATAGAAAGGATACATTTATAGCTTCTAAAGTACTGAATTCTGTCTAAAAAAAGAACCTATTAAATGCTTTATTTTTTCATAAAGCTCAAACACACTTACTTGTTCACCCTTCAGGCTAGAAAAGAACTCCAGCTGATTTCTCATATTGGGAGAAAGCCTCGTGACTTCTGAATCAGCCTTAATTCTTTTCTTTTTTTGCTCATTACTTTCTGCAGTTTATGTGGGAAGAAAATGTTTTAATAGGGACGGAAACATAGAAGTGGAAATAATACAAACCTTTTGACATTCCATAAGGAAACCAATACATAATTTATTGATTGATTAATTAAATCATGTTAGTCTTAGGCGAAAATATGACTACTACATATAAGTTTATGTCAAATGTTAAATCGTGTACTTTATATAGTTTGTTATATTCACTTCCTTCCCAACCATAGTACCATCTATATGTAACTATAAATTAATGAAATAAATGTCACCCCTCCCTAATCAGCCCTCAAATCTATCCACCAAACAAGGGCTTAAAATCCATGCTAGACACCAAGATCTTGTGAGGCCCAATGCGAGCACACTGTAATGATGTTCTAACAAGTTCAGAGGTCATTGCACAAACCTATTCTTCTCCGCTGTTGCCCTGGAGGCCCTGATGGGATTAATGCGTCCAGTTGAGCTAACAAATTAGTAGAGATACTGCAATAAAACAATAACAATTAATCTCCAGTTCTACAATTACAAGGTGCTAGTGTTTAATAGTCCGTCTATCTTACTGATTACATATTGATAAGGAACAACTCGTTAATTGTAAATCATCCATCCTACTTATATTTTTTTAATTATTTGTCCTTGAAACTTAATTTGCACAGTTAACTTGTTCTATCGAAATACTACTTTTTTTTTTGGGGGGGGGCAAAAAAGAGTATTTAAATGTGACCCTTCCACGCAAGTTCATATCACCTAAAAATCATAAGAACATATCTAAAAAGGTGAGTGGTGTCGTGCTCGGTGCTCCACAATTAAGGATGTTTTTTACTCCGTATTAAAATAGTGACAGTTCTAGACAAGATCGAATTGAATCAAACCAAATCAGATAAGTTTTTAAATATTCTTCGGTTCTAGTTGTTCCACGCGCGTTGCGCGATAGGAAAATGCCCAATATAATTTTGACATCATAATATTAAGACTTTGTTTGCACAAATAAGTTTTTTTAGGTTGGAGATTATACTGTATGAAATGGATTAAATGATTAATATGTCAAAATTGTTGAAAAGTGTTCTACATGGATTGTTAGTCTTTTAGATGGGGATGTGGTGACTAAAAATTGTGAGCTACATTGTTGTTGAAAATAATATAAAAATGATTGTTAACTTGCTATCTTTTGAGTATTACAAAGGAAGTAATTCTTAAGATATGACCAAAATAAGGACAATGGATAAACATATGACTTAATAATTATTAGAATGGTGATGATCTACGTTTCACACAACGGATGACTCCAGAAGCTATAATTATATTCAAATTTTACATCGTAGTGACCATAAAATTATAGTCATAATAATTTCAGTCACATCATTGCCCATAAGTTTTAGTTTACAAAAATAGCCTTCGGCAATAAAGAGATATGAAATATCTGAAAGAAGAAATGAACTTTATAAGGAAACAATGACTATTACTCAAATAAAAGGTAGAGATAAAAATGTGTCCTCCTTAATGCAAAGGGAGAACATTTAATCAATGAAGTGGCTATAGTGATTTTGCAAGTGACCATTTAGTTACTTTTTATACTACGTTACTGAGTACGTAGTATAACTTAAGTAACTTTGGGGAAAATCTTTAAAACTGGTCACGATATTTAAATTTCAAATTCAAGAAATCGCAACCATACATTTTCACTTTGCTCCTATTTTCTTAAACTCCAATCCCAAAAAAAGATCGATTCCAGCTGATGCTAGTTCTAAAGTGTGACTTTATTTTTTGAAAATAGTTTATTCATTAGATAATTGACAGTCCAAAACAGTGTATCAAATATTTATACTCCTTATCTTAATATTTGTTTTGTTTGGTGCAAACTAATCCCTCAACCACAACCATACATTTTCCCACTTACCTTTCTAGGATGTCCCAAAAAATTACTCATTTTCCCTTTTGGAAAGTTTTGTGTGGCTAACATCCATTTACTTTTTTCTTACTCAATCATAACCATACATTTTCACTTTGCTCCTATTTTCTTAAACTCCAATCCATGTCAAATCGGAAAGAATTTTATGGGACGGAGTGAGTAATTTGACTTATTAGTTTTTTACCGACTTTGACTTATTAGTTGGTATCCTATATATTACAGAATTCCATAGAAATTATTGTGTATTTTAAACTATAAATAAGGCATTTGTGTACATGATGATGCTAATTTAACTAAATGTGACCCTTCCATTGATACGACGGGGTACTTTGCTAAAATTTGCATGTGAATCCGTTATTCACTATAAGCCAAAAAATCATTACAATAAAAAGGCTATATACTTGTAAATATGTGAATTATAGACAGAATCAGTTGTCTGCCCCACATAAATACCTGACTTCACTCTCAGAAAGCTCTTTGGCCTGTGTGTATAACATTTTGAGTTTCGATAGTGAATTGTCGCCAGGTTTTTCTACCACCTCAGGGGCTGCACGAGAAAGGGAACAATCAATGAGATATAAGAAAAATCAGAAGTCATGCCTCAGAGTCTGTTTGGTTGGATAATTTTTTGGAGGTGTTTGAAAGGCAAGTATCGGGAGATTATAGCTACAGCTTGATAGAATGTTTCTAAAAATGAATATAAGGTGATTGTTGAAATATTATGTGGTCATATATTATGTTAGTCTTCCATTTTTTATGAAATATAAAATGCATAACAAGATATAGACTAAGCACTCCAAAACCTTCCCTTCTAAAATCATCCACCGTAACAACCCCATAGTCTAATTGAAAACATCATTATGTTTACAGAAAAATATCTTATAAAAAATGTTAAAAACTTCAATTCACTGTAATGTATTGACCATCATTTCTAGAACAACTTCAAGCCCTAGTGTTTGGTAAACCAAAGTTAAACATTGACCTTTGCATAATCACATCAAGCCAATATCTACCAAAATAAAAGCTTCAATTAAAAGTTACTGGAAGAATGGACGATTATAAATATATCCCTCACAACATCATGCCAAAATCACACTGCAGTGATTAAAGAGAAGAAACATTTTGGGGCAAACACCTTAAATCAAACCTGAGGGGATATTTATACAGAAAGTTATGGGCTCAATTCCTCACTGCATTTAAAAAGGGGACACTTGGTTCACAGAATGTAAGATTATCTTAAGCTATTTGGTTCAGGAAATGTGACATTACTTATGTTTTTAAGCAGTTAGGGACAAAGTCTGAATAGTCTAAAATATAACTCCGCATCAAGGAAATCTTACTAAATTTAAGATACCCTGGTAATGAGATTGTCCCAACATTACCCGATCATTTTAAGGTTACCACTACCCTGGTGATCTAAAAACTTTAACTAAGGAGGTAATTTCATATTACCTTTCTCACATTACCAAGTTAATGTTAGATTAATTGAACCAAACACCCCCCTAATTGAAAACTACGGATTTTTCCGTTCTTGATTTGCTTCAACAATATCTATAGTCATAAGAAGCTTTGAATTGTTTGTAATAATTTTGAAGACTGCCAGATTCAGACAATAAGAACTGAATGTGAAGTGATGCACACTACTAACACAGAGCACAAATTGGAAATGGTAGTGCTACAAGAAAATAGAAAATCAAGCATACAACTAATGCATACCCAATTGAATGCATATATAAAACACAGTCCCAACCCATCTCTTTTTACCAAAGTAGCTACCTTTACCCCATAACGATGGTTAAAATATTGAGTATTACGAACCAGATTGAAGCTTCTTGTGCAGCTTGTTGATCTCGAGGAGTACTTCCTCTTGTTCCTTCCTCAGACGATCGAGCTCCTTCGATTTCTCCAACATGTCCGCAATGTCCGGCGAGGTCATCCTACTTTCTGCTCGGGATATTGCGCCAATGCCGGAAACTCCTAGGACCCTTAGGTTTTGGAACTCGGATAGACCAACTACAGCTCAGCTTTGATCATCGTCGAAGTCCACCGAGGGATGGGCACCGATCAGATAGTTCTGAAATTTCTGGCTGATTTTTTCTTAGTTTAACTGGTGTGACGTATTTTTACTTTCTTTTGGTAAATCGCTAATGAGGTTACTGTTATGGTGTGGCTGTAAGAAAACGTTTTTATTAGTTTTTGACAAACAAATTAGGTGCTGTTCTGTTCGTCTTATTCTTATTACTTATTGCTTATTCTTATTTTATTCAGATCAGATCAGATCAGATCAGAAAAATTCAGATCAGATCAGATCAGATCAGAAAGATTCAGATCAGATCAGATCAGATCAGAAAGATTCAGATCAGAAAGATTCAGATCAGATCAGAAAGATTCAGATCAGATCAGACCAGATCAGAAACATTCAGATCAGATTATATATTATTATTATTAATATATTGTAATAATTATATTAATATAATAATATCGTTATGATAATATTAATTGTATTTATAGTACTATTATTATATTATAATTAATGTTAATATAATTATAATTATTATTAATTATAATAATTTTAATTATATTATTATATTATAATATTATAATTAATTTTAATATAATTATAATTATATAATTATAAATATAATAATTATAATTATACTTATAATTATATTATAATTATAATTTATGATTATAATAATCGTATTATTATTAATATATTGTAATAATTATATTAATATAATAATATCGTTATGATAATATTAATTGTATTTATAGTACTATTATTATATTATAATTAATGTTAATATAATTATAATTATTATTAATTATAATAATTTTAATTATATTATTATATTATAATATTATAATTAATTTTAATATAATTATAATTATTATTAATTATAATTATAATAATTATAATTATACTTATAATTATATTATAATTATAATTTATGATTATAATTATTATTTTTATTATAATAATAATTATTATTATTACTATTGTAATTATTTTACGGAGTAATTATAATAATATTGATAACTATAGTTACAATTATAGAGATAAATATTGTAATTATAATTACAATTATAATTACAGTTATAATTATATCTATATTTATAATTAGTGTAATAGGTATAATTACAATAATACTTATATTATAATAATCGTATTATTATTAATATATTGTAATAATTATATTAATATAATAATATCGTTATGATAATATTAATTGTATTTATAGTACTATTATTATATTATAATTAATGTTAATATAATTATAATTATTATTAATTATAATAATTTTAATTATATTATTATATTATAATATTATAATTAATTTTAATATAATTATAATTATTATTAATTATAATTATAATAATTATAATTATACTTATAATTATATTATAATTATAATTTATGATTATAATTATTATTTTTATTATAATAATAATTATTATTATTACTATTGTAATTATTTTACGGAGTAATTATAATAATATTGATAACTATAGTTACAATTATAGAGATAAATATTGTAATTATAATTACAATTATAATTACAGTTATAATTATATCTATATTTATAATTAGTGTAATAGGTATAAATTTTTTCATTTTAAATTTAATTTTAATTTTTTTATTATTATTATTATTATAGTTACGATTATAATTATAATTTTATTTAAATTATATTTGTAATTGCAATTATAATAATTATAATTATAATTTTAATCATAATTATAATCATAGAAACATTCAAATCAGATCAGATCAGAAAGATTCAGATAAGATCAGAAAGATTCAGATCAGATCAGAAACATTCAGATCAGATCAGACCAGATCAGAAACATTCAGATCAGATCAGAAAGATTCAGATCAGATCAGATCAGATCAGAAAGATTCAGATCAGATCAGATCAGACCAGAAAGATTCAGATCAGATCAGATCAGATCAGAAAAATTCAGATCAGATCAGATCAGAACTTAAAAAATTCAGATCAGAAACATTCAGATCAGGCGAAGAGAACAGCTTCTTAGTTTCGGTACGATGATGATTTATTAATCCGGATAAATGGATTCATTTCACTTGCTTATTGTGATTTTATTTTACAATAGATACTGTATAAGACAATAATTAATTAATTAATTAATTACAACCCAATAAACAAACATTTAACAAACAAACGAATTGCGAAGACAACTTTAACAACATCGGGGTGATTACGTAAATTACACCGTACAACCGGCTGTACGGTGAGCACCGTACAACCGGCTGTACGGTGAGCACCGTACAGCCGGGTATTTTTGAAATTAAATTCAACTTGCAGGGTTAAGATCGAAGACCTTCGTATCCTCTGTACGCAGGCTTGAGTCCTCGTGTCGCTCGTCCCAGGCTTCGTCGGCCATCGCTGCTACCTGCTAGATCCCCGGCGGCCACCTCTCCCTGCTAGACCTTCGGAGTTTTGGGATTGAGTCAATCGATGACTATGGCTTTGGGCTTGAAACAGATAAGGAGATAGGGATTTGGGGTTCCTAATTTAGTTGCCTCCTTTGCAATAGAAATTGCAGATAGACATCAGATGAAGAAATTGCTAGGACGATTGTTAGTCATGGTTTACTTTGTTTAAGTACGATAAATAACAAGCTCCAGGCCAGTGTTTGTTTCGACATCCGATGAAGGCCTACTGAGTTCATATTTCTTGTTGACGAATCTGAAATGAGTTTATATTAAACACAAATGAGTATAAGCTTAAAAAGAATGAACATACACAAATGAATATCGAGCATATTAAAAATGAGTTTCATGTAAAACTCAAATGAGTATACAACCGAAAATGAATGAGCATACACAAATGATCTTTTGAATTTTTTATACTCATTTTGTGAATTATGTATGCTCATTTGGTACCTCTTTATACTCATTTCAAACGTATCATACTAATGCTAAACTCAAATGAGTATAAGGCCAAAATGAATGAGCATACACAAATGGACTTTTAAATTTTTTGATACTCATCTTGTAAGTTACATATGCTCATTTGGTGTTACTTTATGCTCATTTAAAAAGAACAGACTCGATGCTCATCACAATCGCATAATGAAAATCATTGGTCATACTTTTCAAGTTGATGCTCAATAAAAATGTCTTGATGTTCAATTAAAAGTACTTATGATTTTCATATCAATTCTCATTTTATAAGTTATGTATGCTCAACGGGTATTCATGTTATGCTCATTTGTAATATGACATACCAATGTATATTTCCAAAGTATCATATTGCATTAAATTCACATACTGGAGTTCATAAGAGTTGATTATAGATATAATTTAATAAGTTTTTATAAAGAAAAAATAAGGAAAAGAAAGTAAATTCGAAGAGATGAAGCAGAGATCATGATGCTCAATGTTATGCTTCTAATGCTCAACAAAATATGTCACTTGCTCACTATGTGTGGTTTAATACTCATTTAATACGAGACGCGAATTTCAAATAAATTACAAAAATGTCACCGGCTGTACGGTGAGCACCGTACAACCAGTGGTACCATATATGCTTCCGGGTGATTATTCATCTTAACCTGTTGCGTTATTATTATAATGGTATCTAATTAACTACTCATTAATTATCTACAACTTCAAATTATTTAAATGTTTTGTTTTTTGTATTTAATTTATCAGCTAAATTTAAGGCCTTTTTTACTAATATTACTAAATTAATTAAAGAAAGACAAAAAAGCGCTTTTCCAAAAAAAATGGCCGAACATCCTTTATTAAACTAGACGAAGTACAGGTGCTATATCTGGAATAGAATAACAGCTAATTTTAATAATTAAAAAAAGTTGAGTAGAGTTATACTCCCTCCGATTCAAAAACAAGTTCCACATTTGATTTCACACATATTAAGAAAAGAAATTTGACTTTACTGTGAAGTGCATTGTTTGACACTGTTTGGACACTGTTGGCACTCTTTGACACTGTTTGGAACTGTTTTGATGTAGATAATTTGTCAAATAAGGAAAGGTTTGAAAGTAAAACTTCATTTTGGAACTGCCTGAAAAGGAAAGGTGGAACTTGTTTTTGAATCGGAGAGAGTATGTTGTAAGTTTGATTATATACATATAGTGTTTGTAAGAAAAAGAGAAATCCGATAGTATAAGATCTTCACAATTTGTAAGTTTAATTATAAGATGTTGTAACTCTCTCATAGAGAATTTGAGACCTTCGTGGTCATACTAGGAACTTTTTTTGTAGCATACTCTCACTAGAATTCAACCTTTTCGCTAATTTCGATTTCTAAATTATTAAAATGTTGTGTCTAAAACGGTTGATTATAATACAAGTTGAAATATTGTGTATTAAAAAACATAACTTTGAAGTATAAATTCAAAACTACTGAAGCACATTTTCGAATTACGATATGGATAATTGGCTTCTAATTAAGTTGAATTAAATTGAAGCATATATTAGAAAAAATGACATGGATGCATGGTTTTAAGTAAAGTGAATCGTATATTCAAGGTGATGCATGGTTATAATTCTGGAAATATTTGAACTTATAAACTGATATTTTTGTGGTTGTGAATACTAAGCCCTTTTCCACTCTTGCATGTATTAACTCATAAACATTGCAGTTGATGCCTTGATTTCAAGAATAGGATAATTTTGTCTTCGAGATATTCACTCGTCCCCTCTCAGTTGCTAGAGTGAATAGATATATAGTTAAAGCAAATGAATTAACTTAATCTGTTTGATTTTATTCTTAAAAGAACGTTTTGGACCAACCTTTATTTATTTTTAACTATAAATTCATCTCTAGCGTGGTGACATTTTGGGGCTTTTGGTGTTTAATAACTTGCCACTACCGGATCACGTGTACACGAACTTTCCATTCCATACACCAGAGTTGAATTTCATCGAGATTCGTTGTTTTGACTGGCATGGTGGATGGAAATACATTTGTCACTATCATTCTGATCTGGTTAACTTTTGTATGCGGCTTTTTTTACAATGACATTGAGCATCATCATTTTCATTTTCATTTACCCCAGTGCCGCAAAGGCTCCTCCTACCTACGGTGGGGTAAGGGGGGTCGGATGCACGCAGTCTTACCCTTGTACTAAAGCACAGAGAGACTGTTTCCGGATGACCCAAAGTGAAAATCGC